GTGGCTATAATATTTATAGATAAACTCATGCAGTTACATCTCATAGGTGTTCAACTCAACCATGATGAAATTGGGTGTGTAAATTAACTCAAATTTCTGGGGAAATAACTTTTTGATCTGAGGGTGAAAGAGCAATGCATTGGTTTTGATATTTGTATTATGGTGTTTAATGTGTTAAAAATGTGGAGAGTTCATGAATAAAAGAAAGAAATCTATATACTAAAGTATATAATTGATATATTCCTTATGACTTCCACTACATATTTAATATCAACATCTTAATTAATATCTTGACACACATAAGCTTATTATCCTTTTCTCACAAAAAAGGTTATTTTGGATATTATGATTATATTGAGTTATCTGTTTAAAGTTAAATTACTTATAACATCAAAATCTATAAATGACAATTGAATTACACTCTTTTAGGCATGGCTCTCTTTTTTCTATTTTCTAGACCAAACAAGGTTATGTAAGAGGTCACTAAGTCTCATTACTATGATAATCATCATAAATCTAAATTAAGATCCTTATTTGTGATATACATAAAATATCCACGCATATTCTAGGATATTCCTCAATCATGATTTTTTGCCTTTAAACTTTTCTCTTAATATATTAATAATATAAACCTTTGTTTAAATTTTTAGTGTAAAGTTTGTATGCTCATCAAGAGAAGAGGAACTAAACACAAAAACATTATGTTTTAGAGCTTGAGATGACAATTCTCAAACATCTATTGGAACATTTAGCTAATAAGCTATAGATACAATGTCTCTCAAGTCTTAAATCCCTACATTATTGTTGATAGTCATTTGTGGTATCTTTATTGCAGCCTTATGGTGACACAAAACACTAGAGTAAGCCTATGGACTTCAAATCTTAATTGTTCACTAGTGTAAAATAAAAGTTATACTCTTCCTTAAAATCTATGACATTTAATGCCACCACAACATTTTTTAAATTATTATTCTTGCACAAGAAGTACTTCCCATCCAATTTATAATGCTTTGAGAAGTATAAGAGAAGGTGAGGAAAGATGATGTCTAGGAGATAATTGTACTTTAACCAAGAATAAGTTTCATGCTTGTCATTCTAAAACAATTTAATACTGTTTTATTAGGATTTCTTTCACCTTGTTTCTTAAATTTTTTTGGGATTTTATATATTATAATAGACTTGAAAGAAACTTAAATCTTAAGGTGCATATGAGCAAAAAACACACTACCTCATTTGTAAATAGGCCCTATGGAAATTTAAGTGTTTATCACCATTAAAAGCCTCAAGAGGAGCTTTTTTGGTACACTTTTAATTCATAGATAAATTTAAAGCATCATTATTTTAAAACCTCATGAGAAAGAATTTTTTTCCATATTTCTAAGCTGAAGGGGCATTAAAGACCATTAGCACTCTCTACAATACCTATATCTCTTTTAAGGATAGAATATTGCTATTTCTATAAGGGATTATAGAGTATACTAGTTGCATGTTCGGAAGCACCATCTTTTTCTAGCAGGTTCCATTCTAATTCTAGGGTGGATGATGTGAGTATTGAGGTGGTGAAAATATGTTATATTGTTTGTTATTCCTTTCTCTCTCTCTTCTCTTGGCTAGTATGATTAGTTTCTCTTTCCTCTTCCTTCCAAGACTTTGGTATATTGTTCTAAAACTAGATCTAGAATTATGATTGGTGGTTTTGATTGCTTCCATAGCCTCAATATATTGTACTAAGTGAAAGTGCTCAAAGACCATTATATAAGCTAGCTTTCCAGATAATGTAAAATTTCATCAACCTCATGTATGAGAGGAGCTTAAAGAGTGGACTGAACACTTGGGCTTGATTTGGAATTTGTTATTTCAGACCTACTTAATGATTATAAAGTATGGATGTATCAAAGTGTTATAACAATGAGTAACATGACTAGCTATGAGGGCCATCAAGTATATAACATCTATTTGGCAATAATCTGGATTTCATCATGCCACATCATGGATACACATGACTTTGGCTGTCTACCACTATGGGGCACATCAGATGCCAATAGTGTATATCATATAACCCTCACAAACAACCAATTAGACTAGGACTACTAAACATCCATGACTGTCATTTACAATAGGTTGTACGATACCTTCAGGGAATGGAGATTTTTGGGATCTCTGCTTCAAATAAGGGGATAGCTTATGTTCTTTTTGGTATATTAAAGACATTTTCACGAGCTGCATGCTCTGGTGGTTTAAATTGGAGATAAGATAGGCAAAATTCATTATGATGTAGGTTTGATCAATTGGAAAACAGATTAGGGTCTTGGCGATCAAGTGAAGTATCCTAGGAAGAGTTTCACGATCCTTATAATAGGTGGCTCTAGCTTCATAGAGGAGTCACCCATAGTAGTACAAATTGTTTTGTACTTGTTTTAGTCCCTATACATTTATATTTTATAAATCAGGTTAGAGGGAACAATGCACCATATATGACAATTGCTGGTTGTCAAACATTCACTCATATAAATCAATCGAGAGTTCAAACACTACAGGAGATTCAACCATCCTAGGAGCTAAAAGTCACTGGCATTGTTCCTTTCAAAGAATAAAAAGGATGGAAATCGTGTATGAGAATCATGAAGGAGAATCGATCACGTGGATACCGTCGCTTGGCGTCAATCCAGATCGAGAAGCATGCATTTGGACAAGCCTGTACATCATCCTTGGAATCTCATCCTTGGATCGGTTGTCTTCCTCTTCCTATGGGGATGATTCTTCCATCTGGAGGGATTCCAGTGCTTCATCATCGGTGAACATTGCGAAGCAAACCGTCCTACCGCTGGTGGTGCTCAGGCTTGTAGGCAGCTTGATGTAGATAAGCTATGCTTCTTACCTACATATTTTGGCTATGAAATGATGCGGTGATTTCTATCAGATGGGGAAGCCATTTTTATTCAGCTTATCGATAGAGCGATGCTCACGGACGAGAACGTCTTAGTTGCCAAAAGGTCGCGGATGCGACCACGATTCCCTTGAATTCTCAGGAGTTAATTCATGTCGTCCTCATCCTGGATCTCGAGTCTGGAGCTCTTGATCCACTGGACATTAAGGGGCGGGAGAGGATTTGGAAATGATTGGCAGGGATGGTGTCGTCAAATTCGTGAAATTCTGGCGAAAAACTGGTCGGCTGCTGGGAAATGCGATGCGCCTCCATCGTTTTTCAACTCCAGGGCCACCAAACAACCAACAAGGAGGATTTTTGCAAGGGCCAGCGTCTCCATTACGCTTTCCAGCATCAAAGATTTTCTCTACAGTGGATAGATTTGACAGCGTTTTAGTGATGTTTACAGTTGGGAGACCATAGGAAACGCTCAGAAGTACACAAAAGTTTGTGCCAATTTAAATCTGAATATTTGCCAATGTGGTCCCTTCATCATAACATGCTCCTTTTCTCCTTATTTAGATATTCAACAAGGTTAGAGCTATGGAGCATGCTGCTCGAGCAGAGGGGCTACCGCCATTGTTCTCACTGCAATTCTCGACAAAAGAGAAGATGATCTACAAAACAGGTAACTTAAAGCAAGCGTTAGAATCCAGGGTTGGAGCCGACTAGTTTTGCCACCAGCATGGATGACACGGTATATTTTTACTTTTCAGCATTTCCAGGCCTTTTCTTTTGGTTTTTCTTGTTGCAGCCAACAGATCGTGAAATTGTTTTCTTGCATCGCATCCAAGTACACAGACAAATCCATCACCTTGAAGGTGACTCGTTGGATTTCGTCTACGTCGATGGAGGCATTACAAGCTCGCTCTAAGATTCATAAACATGTTCACTTTTTTCCTTTCGGGAGCAATAGTGATGCTGTGAATTCTACCAGGTTGGGAGGCCTCTCTTGTTCGGCCCGGCCATCGATGGCGAACAAGGCGTGTGAAAGTGCTAGACATGCTCAACCAGGAGCTGAGAAGCACCATGACAATTGCTGGTTGCCCAACACTCGCTCAAATAACCTGATCAAGCGTTCAAACGCCATCCAGCAAGCTCTAGATAACAATCGAGCATTCACTGCTTGCATTCTTTCTGTTCCTGTCAAGAAATATTGTGTGAGAAGAAAACGTGTGATCTTCGATTATCTGGTGGCATCGGCCACACGAAGTTCCGCCTCTCACAATCCTCGAACATGTTGATCCGCCATGGAACTTGAGCGATGATCTTGTCACGTAACCACCGCGAAGCTCACCTGATCGCGCGGCGTGAATCTGTCGAGCTCGTTGAACCACACGACAAGAGGTTGCTGAGCGGCGTGTGCTCTCTCAGCACCGTGCTCACCAGATCATACGGAAGGAGCCCGTCGAACCTCCGGTACCCGGTGACCTCGGCCTCCTGGAACGCGGGGTCTGCGTGCTCGAAATGGTGTCACAGGAATCTCTCCTGGATCTGGATGGCGGCTGAATGGGATCCGCCACGAACATTGCGAAGCAAACCGTCCTGGCGCTGGCCATGGTGCTGCCTTGAGCACCGAAGATCGCTTATGCTACCACGATTCCCCTGCAAACTCCCTGGTAATCCATGTCGGCAGATTCGCACTCTTCCAGGCGCCAAATGGTGTGGAGTTTCGAGAGTTTGCTGCGTGGTGAGGCAATTGAGCGTCTCTGCGAAGATCTCTTGCGAGGGCAGCGCTTTGATCCATTGTCGCCAGCAGGGCAATTTCAAAGCCCAGGGGGCGGGAGAGGGAGGGATGAACAGCAGGGGAATTTCAAAGAAAGTATCTACGCATAGCAAAACATACATCTTAGACCGTATTTGATTATTAAGGGCTAATGTTACTAAAACCACAGGTCAAACCCAACTTATTGTTTTTGAACCAGATGCCACGCTGGCAGGTTGTAGCATAACGGCGGCAGTGGAACACCAAGCACCACCGCTACCGAAATACCCTCCTGTCTATAGGTAGAGACCACACACAAGCGCTCGCTCAAAGTTTCTAGGTCATTCTCTCCCTTGCATCAAGCCAGCGATGGCAATCTCCGAGTCCTCTTCCGAGTCCGACTTGGTTCTTTCGCCCATTCCAGGCTCCGTCTTCGCAACTGCATTTCACGAGCACGCTAGCGACATCGATGGGCAGCTCCTCCTCGACCCGTCGTTCGTCGAATCTGTTTTCGATGGTGATGGGATGCTCATCGATGGTTTCTACACCGATTCTAGCTTCGCTTCATTTCTCGCTCCCACTCCTGCACTGCAGCCGCAAACTCTCTCGTCGCCTCTCAGCCTCAGCGATGAGAGCAGTAGCAGCCAGACTACTCTCGTCGAGGAGAACGGCCAGAACGTTCCTGTCAATCGCCAGCGCAGGCAGCGATCGGCGCGATCGCCCAAGTCGGGCCCGACGGAGAGGATGCTGGAAATCACACCGGACGAGCTCGCTTGCTACTATGCTATGCCCATCACGGAGGCGTCCAAGAAGCTCAAGGTCGGGCTCACGGTCCTCAAGAAGCGGTGCCGCGAGTTTGGGATCCCGCGCTGGCCGCATCGCAAGCTCAAGAGCCTGGATGGCCTCATTCACAATATACAGGTAACCATCGCGAGATCCTTTCTTCAACCCATGGGAAACGATGAAGAAAGGATCATTTCTTCATCCTGATTCCATTGATCCTTCTTTCATGCTTCTTTGATTTTTTTCTCGATTCCATCTTCATCCCTGTATGTTTCTCGATTCCATGGATCCTCTCCATGTTTCTCTTTCATGTTTCTTATTCCATCTATCCTTTTCTTCATTCCTGTATGTTTCTCGATTCCATGGATCTTCTCCATCTTTTGATATGTTTCTCGCGTCTACAGGAGCTTTCCAAAGAGAGCCCGAGCTCGGGGAAGAAGAAATTCGAGGATGCGGTGAGCGAGCTCGAGGTGCAGAAACGGAATATGCAAGCAAACCCCGCGGTTGATCTGTCGGATGACACAAAGAGGCTTCGCCAGGCATGCTTCAAGCAGAGCTACAAGCAGCGCCGACAAGCTCTTGCCAGGCTTGAGGAAGACGACGAAGAATAAACAAAGAGCTTGGGGTGTGTTTTTTTTCTTCTTCGTGGTTCTTTCTCAAGTAGTTATTTCAAATGTCCAAAACGAAACTCTCCGTGTGATGATTGTTAGAATGATTAGCACCAAGAACTACCAAACGAAGACAAGTAGCTACATTCTTGCGCGAAAGGTGACGTTACATTCCTTTCGTTCCGAGAGAGAGGAGATATTTAGGGCACGGAGTTTTAGGGCTCTGTTTTAGGGTTTTGCCGAAACGAGAAAAAGATCCTAGGCCGTATATATTCTTCTTTTAGGGCAGTCAGTGCCAGGGCGAGCGCAAGTAGGCGGCGACACACCGGCAAGCCTCCTGTGCGCTACTCGTTCCCCTCGCGCTCGCTAGCGGCGGCTAGGGTTTCAAGGATGAGTGGCGAACAGGGCGCTGGAGGCGGCGGCAACGGCGGTGGCAAGGAGCAGCAGATTTCGGCCTTCTCGGTGGGGGATTTGGGCGGCGCGTTGCCTGGCGGCACTGGAAGTGAGTGTTCTTGGCTGGAATCCTCGAAATATTTTGCTCATTTTTGCTGTTTGTGGCAGCTTTCACCGCGGCGGACCGCGCGGGGCTCGTCAATGCGCTCAAGGTACGCTGTCCGGCACGGGATTTCTATGGTTGAGAATGGGAATGAAATTTCTTTATCAGGACAAACTCCAATATCTTGCTGGGCAGTCTTCAGGTTATGTGGAATCGCTGAGCCCGAAAGTGAAGAAGCGGGTCCAAGCACTGCAGGATTTGCAGGTTTGTGTTTTCATCGATGGGCTTTCTTTACCAATGGCTCTTTCACACAGAAACAACACGATGAGGTTGAGATGAAGTTTAGAGAGGAGAGGGCGATTTTGGAGGCAAAGTATCAGAAGCTTTATGCTCCCTTCTACGCGAAGGTATACTTTCTCAGTGGAAATGTCGACGAGACTTATTCTGTCCTGGTCACAGCGATTTGAAATTGTCACCGGTGCTGTGGATGTTGACGACAATAAGGGCGAGGCCGAAGCCGAAGCTAAGACCGAAGAAGGTTTGGCTAAGTTCCTTCTTTCACGGGTGTGTTCTTACCTTGTTTCTTCTTTGTCTATTGTAGAGAATGGGGTCCCGGAATTCTGGCTCACGGCTATGAAGTCCAATGAAGTTCTGGGCATGCAAGTGGGTATCTCTTTAGATTCACCACCTGGTTTGCTGACATTTCGATTTTTAGATTACTGAACGAGACGAGGGAGCACTAAAGTTCCTGAAGGAGATTAAGTGGTGCAACTTGGAAAACCCGAAAGGGTTCCGTCTTGATTTTTACTTCGATACCAATCCCTACTTCAGGAATTCAGTGGTAAGTTGTTTTGTGGAATTCGTTCTCCGGCAGTTGATGCTAACAAATGAAGCGAAACAGCTGAGCAAGACGTACCACATGGTGGACGAGGACGAGCCTATCCTTGAGCGTGCTATCGGGTAGGATGTCGTGCTTTTCCTGTTGTTTCCCTGAAACAATGTTACAACAGGACGGAAATCGAGTGGCATGCCGGGAAGAATCTAACTCAGAAGATTTTGAAGAAGAAGCCAAAGAAGGGAGCGAAGAATACCAAGCCGGTCACAAAGACAGAACAGTGTGACAGCTTCTTCAACTTCTTCAGTCCGCCTCTAGTGCCAGACGACGATGACGACATCGATGCGACTGATGTAAGTTTTCGACTACGTACAGCACATAATGCGGATATAACATTTCTCCTTTCCTCTCGTTTCCTTTCTTCGGTTTGACAGGCTGAACAACTGCAGGACTTGATGGAACAGGACTACGAGATTGGGTGAGTGAAAGTGAAAAGTCCGTTTTCTGGTCGTCGCTAAGCTCTGGTGCTATGCAACTACAGATCGACCATCAAGGAGAAGATTATTCCCCACGCAGTTTCGTGGTTCACTGGCGAGGCCTTGCAAGGGGACGAGTATGAAGACGTGGATGACGAGAACGACTCGGAAAGCGATGACGAGGAGGAGGACGATGAGGAGGAGGAGGATGAGGAGGACGAAGAGGAGGAAGACGAAGGAAGCGCACGCAAGGTAGAGTTTTGGTTTTCCTTATTCATCCATAGCTAAGATTCTTTGTCAATGTAGCCGGCGGCTCCTCGGACAAAGGCTGCGGTGAAGAAGCAGGCTAGTGGCGACCAGCCCCCAGAATGCAAGCAACAGTGACACACCGGTTGTCATCCTACTCACAGGCAGTTTGGTATTTCCATTTGTTTTGGAGAGTCATGAAGTTTCTCGAATTTTTGTAGACGGCATCTATGTTTAAGTTCGATGATTTCTCTATGTTTGATGATCCAACTTCATTCAACAATTGCAAGAAACAAAATGGATTGATTGATTCTCAATCTATAGTAAAAACTTCCAAAACGAAGAGATCCACTCTACTCGAACAAGCTAAATCCCATGTCCTGTAAGGCGAGGCAATTCTTTGTGTTAGCGCGCAAGAGATGAGAAGGAAGCAACTTACGTCATCGGATTCCTCTTTCTCTTCTTCCTTTGGTGCTTCCTTGGCAGCCTCGGGGGCGGCGGCGGCGGAGGAGGCAGCGGGGGCAGCGGCCGCCACGGCCCCGCCAGCGCCGCCGCTGGGAACCGACGCAAACTTGTCCCTTCCCTCGGCGATTAGCTCCACAATGTCCTTGCCCTCGAGCTCGCTCATCAGATGCGAGAGCTTGGTCTCATCGGCCTCGGCTCCCACTGCGTTGGATCGTAAGATTCGTATTACCTATCGATCGATGGCTTACCTGATGAGAGGATCCCCTTGATGTCGTCCGAGGAGGGGCACTCGTTCCCGCCCAACACCGCGAGGAGATACGCCGCAATCAGCTTCATTGTTACCGGACGCCGCCTTCTTCCTTCTTGGAACCCTAAAACCTAGATGGAAGGTTTAGGGTTCGAATCTCAAGGGCAGTGTATCTGATGTGGCAAGTGGCGTGGCATTTTTCTTGCTGATGTGGCAAACACGTCTGCGAGTGACGTGCCATTCGCACGTGTCTTACCACGTGACAGTGCGAGGAAGTGTGGGTCGGTCGCCGGCCAATCGAGTGCTGGTTGGGGCCGGCATGCCACGTGTCATGCTGTCTTTGTCTTTTGCTGTTTGAGACAACTTGTCGCTTGTGCTTTGATCTTCTTTCTTCGCTCGCAATCAGCTAAAGTTATCTAATGGAATGAAGCTTGGCTTGAGGAGAAAAAAATGTAGGGCTGGGCGGTTCTCTAATGCACTTTGCTATGATTCTACAAATCTAGAAAACGATAGATATCATGCAACCAAGCAAGATCGAAAAAAAAATCCCCCAACATTGTTACCAAAGTTGATTTCTCTCTCCCCCATGCTTGAAAAGTTTCTCGAGATGGATGGGATTGACTCCTGGCCTATGGATCGTTCTTGTCACTTCCATACACCTATAGTCTCAAGGCGTAAGATTCCCTGGGAATATAACACGTCTTGTTTAAGCAAGAAAAATCACTCACACTGTCGGTTGTAAAGGCATGCTGTCGGTTTTTGGGAGCGGGGGATCATTCATGGGTGGCATGAACCCTAAACTAGAAATATCTGCCATCTTTATGATGATTGTGAGAAGCTTCTTCCTTCAATCCCATGGAGACGCAAAGCCCCCCAAGGTGATAGATACGTACACGAATACACCTGAGAATCTCAAAGGAATACTTATACAGCGAGAGAGACGCCTGTGGGCCACGGGATTTATGGACCTCTTTGATGTGTGCATTATAACCAACCCACCACCCAATTGATATGAATGGACACATTATGGCTAAGCTTTGGTTGCTTTTCAGTTGGTACGGAAAACCTTTGATCAAATGCTTCCTTTTTGTTTGGGAGTGTTAAAATTCACAAGGTTGGTTTGGTTGGTATTTCATGGATGGGCCACTTGACATATCATGGGGCCCATTCTCCGTCACGCGCAGCGTTTGGAGGACCCACGTTTCAACGGGGTGGCCAGTTTTACGTGTACGGTACATATGGGAATATGCACGGGAATCTTTTCTTGTTTTCTCCTTTTCTTTTGGCGTGTGGAGCCCAAATGTTATGGCATGATTCCCCCCCTCTCTCTTTCCCATTCTTGGAGCTAGCTAGATCGAAGTTGTGGAGAAAAGTTGGTATCCACAGACTTTATAAGAAGGTTGTGGAGAAAGGGGCGCACAAAGCAGCGTTGGAAAATATAATGTTCTTTTGATCTCCGCCGCGTTGTCCAACAGTCAAGTTGCTGCCCCCTTTTTTTGCCCTTATTTTTTTCTTAAAAGATTTCCATCTATTTAAATCCTTTAGCGCCCGAAAAAGCATAGAATGGAAACATTGGATGAATGAATCGGAATATTGTTGTTGACTAATAGAAGGACTTGTTTCTTGTATATTGACAGGGGCCAACTTGGCAGTGAATGAGTGCCATGGATCTGATCATTTCATATCGCGTAAGGTAATTTCTTTATTTCCAATGAGATTGTTAGGGAGATCCCACACTCAAATGATGAAACCAAAGTGTTTGGGGCAGATGACTTCGCCCAAGAGATTTAAAAGTCAGCTCTAAACATTCCCTTCACGGGAAATTAGGGCAAACGGACAATTTTGAATATGAAACTCGCGCCGGAATTCAAATATTTAAATTCAAATTCTTCGCCTAAATTCTAGGGCTCAATTCTTTCTTTGTTGCTTGCTGGGAGAACGGGGGACCCGCGGAATTGTGTGGCCAATTCGCTCATTGTAAAGCATGATATCGAAAATGACCCGTCCACCCCCTCTCCGGGCTCTGGGTCTCTTTACACACGCCCTTTGCCAAAGACCCCGTCTTGCAATTCCTCTTCGGGTATGTGCTTCGGACCCCACGCCAAACCGACCACTCACTTTACTCGCCGAGGACGCACAATTTGGACGCGTGGCGGGGCTGTGGCCGTCGGATGGACGATCCTACGCTACTCATTGCTTCGCCGTCCACCGTTCACCCCTTTCCGCCATCGCCGATACCTTCTTATAATGTTCTTCGCGCTCGTTTCGTGTTGATTTTTGTCCAGGCTCTCGCTCGATCAATCGCATTTCATCCCAAGGTTCTTTTGATTTTTTTCTTTCGTTCTCGTTTGGTTTCGTTCTTGGTTCTTCGTGGTTCTTTCTCTTTTGATCGACGAGCATTCATTTCGGCCATTTTTTTCTTTTGATTTGTTCCTTTTTCTGGGATTTTAAACTTGGATCGTCGAGGGAGCGTGGCGACCCCTTGTGTTTCTTTTTCTCGCCGTGCTTGGCGTTGCAACCACCGTCAAGTTTAGCTCGTTCATTCTTTGGGTCGTGCTCAGCTCAGCACATATTAGTTTTTCTTCGCATGCGTGGCGCCACAATCTTTGGGATCAAGCGATCACTCTCATTTCCCTCTCGAAGGCCAATTCACAAGCTATACAACGCAAGCAAGGACGAGTTCTTCTCTCCCGGAATTCTTACCTTCTTCGACTTCTAAGATCCAATCTCTCGCTCTCGCCGATTTTTATAAACTTTTGTGGAATCGTCTACTGCATGAAAGCTGGGTCAACCGATCGATTTCTTGTGCTTCATTGATTGGAATTAAAATGGAGAGCAACAAATCTGTCCAGAAAGGCTAGTCTCCCGCGAACTTCTCATGGATATACCCAAGTTTTCATCTTTTTTCCTCTTGCAGATATGTCATCAAGCATCCAACTCAGTGGAACTTCTTCTGTTCCTCCTGGCTTTCGATTTCATCCCACCGACGAAGAACTCGTGGGTTACTACTTGGCCAAGAAAGTAGCCGCGAGCAAAATTGATTTGGATGTCATCCGCGAGATCGACTTGTACAAGCTGGAGCCATGGGATCTTCAAGGTAAGACGGTCATCCCTCAAGCTTCTCATTTCGGGAAAAAAAAAACCGTTCTTTGGAAGTCTTTGCGTTCTAAATGTCTCTTCTCTCACTGCCATCGATGAATTGCGTTTGCCACACACAGAACGGTGCCGAATTGGCTCCGCGGAGCAGCACGAGTGGTACTTCTTCAGCCACAAAGACAAGAAATACCCGACCGGGACGAGGACCAACAGAGCCACCGGTGCAGGATTTTGGAAGGCCACTGGGCGAGACAAGCCAATCTTTGCTCGCGTCTCCAAATTGATCGGCATGAGGAAGACGCTGGTTTTCTACAAAGGTCGAGCTCCAAACGGGCAGAAATCGGACTGGATAATGCACGAGTATCGCCTGGAGGATGATATCAACAACACTGCAACAAACGTAAGCTAAAAAAATGAGAGAGAGAGAGAGAGAGAAGAAGAAGAAGAAACTTTAGATATGATTCACCGTGTCAATTGTGTGATCGCTTCTCTCACTCTTATTTTGCAATGGCAGGAAGAAGGCTGGGTGGTCTGCCGAGTTTTCAGGAAACGCAACGTTGTCAAGAAGCCGAGCAGTGACTTCGACGGGGCCTGCTGCTACGATCCGGAAGAAAATATGGACAAGATGTATAGCAGCAACAGCAGTTTTGTCAAGCAAGAGTTGGAGAGCGCCGGTATCTACTTCCCATTTGCGTTTGATCACTCGCTGCCGCACCTCGAGAGCCCCAAGAGAGCAAGCCCCATGAGCTACAATCCTCCTCCGGAAGATCACGAGCACCACCACGATTTGATCAAAGCTTCCTCCTACATCGACAACGAGCTAGAAGAACTGGTCCACAAGACGTTCAGTGGCGGCGGAACACAGGCCCCGGCAGAGACTAGCTTTCATGGTTTCAGCGAGGAAATGGTGCCGGCATCCTGGGAGGATCCCGAGAGAATGCTCTCGTCCCAAGTGGCTGGAGTTCACGAGGACGAGTTCTCGAAAGAATCACGGCTGGGCAACTTGGACAGTCTGGTGGAACGCATGAACAGGGGGCAGCAGCTGCAGCAGCCAGATTACTCGTATGATGTTGATCTCTGGGGATTTACCAGGTAGCCCGCGGATTACATCACACAGGCCTGGATACTTTCTCTCTCCCCACTTCATCCAGTCGATCGATGAATCGAGCTTGTTTCTTTCTTGAAGAGATGGACGAACTTCGTGCTGGTGGTTACTTATTATACTTTTCTCGACAAAACAGGTACCTTCCCATCCAGTTTGCTGGCTTTTGTTACGCCCTCCTCTCCGTTTCTCTTCTTTCGGTGGTTTCCTGGATTTCAGAGAGAGCCTGGAAGTGAATGAAACGAACGCTGTTTTCTGTCCTGCGCTGTGGATCTCTTCCATATTATTATTATTATCAATATGTGATTATATTTTTATGACTAATTCAGCAATTGATCATGGTCAGTTTATATTCGTCCTTGAAGCATGAGATACTTGTAAAGGTACTTAGCCAGGAGCGGTACAGCATAGATTTATTAACTTTTTATTCATAGATTTAAATATATCTAGAAAAAATTTAGTAAATTGCAGTGTGGTACAGCGCTGTGGTAGGCCAAGAAAGGCAAAAACTGGTAGCAGCAAAGGAAGAAGAAAAGAAAAGAATGAAAAAGAATTTCTTGAAGTGGTAGTATGATTGAATTCGAGGCAGAGGTCAGCGTCATGCGGTGGGAGTTTGTCGATTGACACGGTTTGATGATGGCAGCCTCCAAAACTAAAAACCCCACATTACTTTTTAACCTCCACCACCTTTTGTATAAAAGATTAGGTTTTCTTCCTTTAAGCTGGCTAATGTTTCCAAAGTATCAGCACTGCTTTGCAGGCTTTGGGCATGCAAGAGACAAAGCCCTGCGCATGGCCTGGGAAGTGTCATATATTTATCGCTCTATAGCTCATGTTTTCAATCAGATTGTCTATGTATATATATTATAGACCCCTTTGTATATGTACTATTGCTCTTTTTTAATCCGTGCAGATCTTAGACGATGCTGATGATGACGAGCGAGCTCTTCGCGTGCATTTGCCATGTGCAAAAGCAGCACTCCCAGCGATCGATCGAATGGATTAGCAGTAACTTCCCCAAAAGCTGCGGTGCGATCTCTATAATAGACACGATGATTCATCAAGGTCACGGGAAGCACTAGTAGTTCTTGTTCTTGCAGGCCACGCCGATTGCTTCTCTCCCATTTTCTTGTTCCTGTTGTGAACACCGGACAAAAGGTGTCAATGTGGCAGAGAGACAAACTTCTCTGGAATCTAAGCTTGCCTGTCAGTTTTCTTCCAGACTTGGCTGTTCGAAACCATCGCAGCGATCAGAACCTGTCGTCTCAACCTTCACACTTTGCTGGGACAGGCTTTTCATTCCAGAGTGTCTGCTTCTTCCAAGTTTCCTATTAACAAAGTCCTTCAGGAATGAGAAGCTTCTAAACAAGATTTCCTGGAAGCTCACATTGGACGATCAGATTTATGATGTCGACCAAGTAGATACCAGGCAACTTTTTACAGAAACCAAACCTGAAAAATTCTTTGCTTCCTTCCGTGGGTTGATCCGTGGATTTGTAATGTAATGTGCTGAATGATGTTCTTGAAACAATGAGCTACAACCATCAACAAAAGAAGCCAACTTTAGGCATAGTGTAGAGCCATGTTTTAACGTAAGAAACAATGAGAGTTTGTGAAACTTGTAGCAGCTAACTCTTCTGTTTCCTTCCTTCAAGAGGGATAAGGTCTCATTGCCAAAGTGAAGGATGGGACCCAAATCTACCTCTCTTTCATTATTAACCTATGGTGACCAAATTTTCCTCAGGTAAAATATACATACAGAAGACCTCTACATAATCTTATTTTGGATGGTTGTTCTTCCTGGCTATGCGGATGCGCGTCCTTGGGCAATTTCCTGATCTTGTTACGTGTACGAACGCATTAAACTGCACAGCATTTTGGTAATTGCTCAGATACTAGAACTACCTCAATAGTGCTCATCTCAATAGCTTTGCTGTAGACTGTGGCATGGTTCTTATGCCAAACGGAACACATCAGAACTCAAGAAGACAAGGTGAAGAGAGTTAAAATCAATTAGACGACTTGATTTGGGCACAACAAGATTAGCATGAACAAATGATATTTTTTGCATATAGTGTTTTTTATTGGATGTATTCCATCGTTCAATCCATTTGATTATTATTATAGTATTTATTGAAGTATTTTCCTTGAATATACAAAAACCACATATGTATATGTGTGTGTATATATATATATATATATGGAAAGAGAGGGTCTTACCAAGAATCACATATGCTGCATTGAGGCAGGAGATAGAGGAAGATCTTGTGGATACATTACCAGTGGTCTTTGGATTTTGGGGAAGGGGAAGCTATGGAGATTAGGAGAAATCAAATGGATTAAAAATTACTATTCGAGACGTCGTTGTACCTTGATTTTGAAGTTTCTTAAAGACTAACATTTTCGGAGAAAAAGGTAAAAGATGAACTAATTTTAAGTTACCTATATATTTATAGAAAAACCGTAGGTGAAGATTCAATCAAGTTTTACAACTGGAGTTTGATGATGATTTAAAATGAATATGCCATTATACCCTTTAAAACCCTAAATCCGACATTGCTGGACTCTCCAAACACTCATGCTGCTTCTGTAGATGGACACATTTCCTATGTCTAGCTACTCTTTCGTATCCTAGATTGAAACATATGGTTGTATGTGCTTCTTTGGCTATCGAAGGTTTTTTCTTCCATCAGGAGAATGGATTGATCAAACTTGAGGCTCATGGATTCGAATCAATTGGTAAGCTTTTTTTCTTATTCTCAGCTAAAACATTCACTATAGATACAAAGGTTGTGAGGGTGTTTGAGGCTCCCACCACATTTCTAGACACGCTCGATCTTCTCACAAGCTTGAGTAGTAACGAGGAGGCTAGGCACGGGATCCAAATCCTGGGAGCAAAAATGTCCACACTCGCCTTGTCTAAAAAACCAATGCACACAGAAGGTTTGAGAAAAGAATGGTTCGCTGTTGCAGCCGATGCAAACCAGAATTCCTATCGTCTAGTGACACCAATTACCTTGATGCTCACTCATTCCATGGGAAAAAAAACCTATAGTCAATCACATAGCACACTGGAGATATAAGTTAGGTACTTCACTAATTTTCTTATTGACTACCCTTACGAACTCAGGCATGTCTATGGTGCATAAGGTAACGATAAAAAACAAGAAAACTATTTGTAAGTAGAAAACTTAAGCATTCCTTTGCAGTTTGCAGTTAATCTTTGTCTCCCAGGACTGTCTTCTTTGGCATCTGCGTCCTGTGAAGATCATCAAAGGCGCATGTCTCTAGAAGCTCTTCAGCACCAGAAACTCTGTCCAGTCGATTGTGCGAATCTCCTATGGATCCTAGCGACAATGACGAGTGTAAGTTGTTCTATTCTCTTTTGCTTCATTTTCAGTTTTTTTTCTCTCAAGAAGGTACCATCTCTATCATTGAGGCAGCTGAAGGCATCCTTGCGTGTCATGGACAAATATGCGTTTCCAGACGATGAGAAGCAAGTTCCTTAATGTTCAATTTATTTCTTTTTCTTTGTTGCCGAGTTGTTTCTTTGGAGCGATGATACAAGTGTAAGTTCTTGTCAGCTTTGTTTCTTTTAGATCATTGCTACATTCTCAGAAGACGAGATATACTCAAGAAGAAGCTACCCAAGCTTATGACATTACTGCTGCCTCAACATGCTTGAACGAGATCAACAGCATGGTTGCAACGCTTCCAGGATGAGGAGCACCAGTGATTAAAAGTGGAAATTACAAGCCAAAATTCCTAGAAAATAAAAGCATTGTTGCTAATTATAATGCTTTTTTAAATAAAATTTAAAAAAAAACAAACGATGCCATTCCAAGTTTTCCAAGGACACGTGGACGGATGGGGTTCGACGATAACGCTGGGCCATCGAGGCCGCTCTTACATGCTGCGTCTAAAGCCCGGGGCCTCGCCACTCTTTCTCCTCGTCGAGGCGCTCATACCCTAGGCGGCCATGGCGATGGCTCCCCACGCACCAGCGGCGTCGGCATTCCTCGCCCAGTCGGAGCTCGTCCCAGCTCGCGATCTCGCCGCGCTTGGAGGAGGAGGAGGAGCTTCTTCGAATTCCCCGCTGCCGCCCGCGGGTCGCCTCAAGATCGGTGAGTTCTTCATGCAATGCATGCTGGAAATTTCGGGCTTTTGATCGATCCCCACTGCCAGGCCGCGCTAGAAAATGCCGTGCCATGGCGTCGGCGGCCACCGCCGCGGCTCCAAAGCGCGAGACCGATCCGAAGAAGAGGGTGGTGATCACGGGAATGGGACTCGTCTCGGTGTTTGGAAACGATGTGGACACGTACTACGACAAGCTCCTGGATGGGCAGAGTGGAGTCGGGCTGATCGATCGCTTCGATGCCTCCCAGTTCCCTACCAAGTTTGCGGCACAGATTCGTGACTTCTCGGCGAAAGGCTACATTGATGGCAAGAACGATCGCCGGCTGGATGACTGCCTCAGGTATGGAATTGTTGGTGGAAAGAGAGCTCTGGAGCACGCTGATCTTGGAGGAGACAAGCTCGATAAGGTAGCAAACCTCGCTCTTTTGTTCTTGTTTTCTAAAGGAGCAATTTTTCTTACCAGGTTGACAAGCAAAGAGTGGGCGTACTCATTGGATCCGGAATGGGAGGGCTCTCGGTTTTCTCTGATGGAGTCCAGTCGCTGATCGAGAAGGGATATAGACGGATCACTCCGTTTTTCATTCCTTACTCGATTACCAACATGGCGTCGGCATTGCTGGCTATAGAGCTGGGACTTATGGGACCAAACTACTCGATTTCTACTGCCTGTGCCACCTCGAATTACTGCTTCTATGCGGCAGCAAACTCTATTCGTAGAGGTGAAGCTGACGTGATGGTGGCCGGAGGCACCGAAGCAGCGATCATTCCAGTCGGCTTGGGTGGCTTTGTTGCATGCAGAGCGTTGTCGCAACGCAACTCCGATCCACAGACCGCGTCGAGGCCGTGGGACAAAGGCCGAGAAGGATTTGTCATGGGTGAAGGCTCTGGAGTTTTGGTAAGTTCCGTGATGCTTTCTGTACTCGGTGATCGATTATAAGCTCTCTTTGCAGGTGATGGAGAGCCTAGAGCATGCCATGAAGCGTGGAGCGCCAATCTATGGCGAGTATCTTGGTGGTGCGGTAACTTGCGACGCTCACCACATGACAGATCCTCGGGCGGATGGTCTGGGCGTGTCAACTTGCATCTCGAAAAGCCTCGAAGATGCGGGAGTTTCTCCCGAGGAGGTAAAAGACATTTCTTTTTTGTTTCTTATAAGACATTTCGCCATTTTTTTGTCGCCTGCGACTTTGTCCAGGTAAATTACATCAATGCTCATGCTACTTCAACGGTGGTCGGCGACTTGGCCGAGATCAATGCCATCAAGAAGGTCTTCAGCGAATCCAGCGACATAAAGATAAATGCAACAAAGGTTAGTAGCATATCGTATTCTTGCAGATACGTTATCAGAAATCTATTTGATGCAGTCTATGATCGGCCACTGTCTTGGGGCCGCTGGTGGACTGGAGGCGATTGCCGTGATCAAAGCCATTACCACTGGCTGGCTCCATCCTTCAATCAACCAATTCGTAAGCTTTTGCTGCTACTTAAGTTAAGCACTACCTCGTTTTTCTCCTTCGTCTAGGACCCAGAGCCCTCCGTGCCATTTGATCGCGTCGCAAACGTGAAGAAACAGCACGAAGTAAACGTTGGTAAGTCGCAATTTGTGTTTTTCTCTCTCTCGAAGCTAGTGTGCTCACGCTCAAATTTTGTGCAGCTATTTCGAACTCGTTTGGATTCGGTGGACACAATTCCGTTGTTGTCTTCGCTCCATTCAAGCCTTGAACGCTAAGAACCTGAAAAAAAAAAAGAGAGGGGAGGATCGCACGGCTGCTCGCAGCAAGCTTCATTTTTGTTAGAGAACAGACCGATGACAGCAGAATAAAGAGCGGATAAATTCTTTGAAAGATCCGGTAATCGACGCGAGAGGCAAAATTGCCAGAAATCTTCCTTCGAGGTATCGAAATCCCTTCGTGACTGTGCGAAGACGCGAACGGAACTTGCAAAGGCTCGGGACAAGAAATTGGCTGCCCTGCGTGTTGTTACGGTAGTATAGATTTTGTGAGGAGGATCTCTTTGAGAATTTTGCCACCTTTAGGTGAATCACCGAATGAGCTGATGATAGCACGTCAAGAACTAGTTTTCGTTTAGGTTATTAGAGCGAAGAAAATGCCGCTCTTTGACGCGCACTGCCACTTGCATGATCCGCGAGTGGCGCACTGTGTGCCGCAGCTCATCCAATCTGCCGCAGACGCTGGAGTGCGCTGGTTTGCGGTGAATGGCACCTCCGAGGTAAATCCATCTCTAGTTTCTCGTCGTTGGATAAGAATCTGTTCATTTCTAGGAGGATTGGAAGACAGTCAAGACGCTGGGCGAGAGCCACTCATCCGTGATTCCGAACTATGGCCTCCATCCATGGTATTCTTCTTTAGATTCTCTCTGTGGAGCGAAAATTCTAGTCACTGCTGAGCTCTCTTTCTTGCCTTATTCTTTGCGGGACTGCTTGCTCTAAAGTTTTAGAAGAATTCTGTCGAGTTCTAAAAAAGCACACTGTTCTTCGTGAAATGGTATCAAAACAATTTCTTGCTTGGCGTTTGCAGGTATGTCAGCTCTCGATCATCGGACTGGCTGTCAAATCTAAAGTCGATGCTTTCTTCGGATCCTTCCGCTGCTGTGGGAGAGGTATAACTTGTTCTTGATGACGAAGTTTTTCCTTGTAGAAAACGTTTGCCGGTTTGTCAAGGTGGGGCTTGACATGGGAACCCGTGGAAGGCAAACTGACGAAAGCACTCAGGTGCGCTCTTTCCTTCGAAGACTTTTCTTGTTTCTTAGAATCTGGTGAAACCAGATTGAAGTTTTAAAGCAGCAACTTGAGCTAGCTCGAGAAATTCATCGGCCGGTGTCTGTGCACTGCGTCCGGGCATTCGGACAGCTTCAACATCTTCTCAAGTAAGAATTCTTTCCTTTTCTCCCTCGTCGTTTGCTTCTCTACGTTGAGCTATTATACGTCAAAACAGGGAGATGGGCGATTTCCCCGATGGCGTCATTTTGCACTCGTTTCTCGGTACAGCCGAGATGGTGAAGCCCCTTGCAAGGCACGGCTGCTACTTTTCCTTCTCCGGCTTCCTAACGAGCATGAAAGAACAAAAAGCAAGGAAAATGCTAGCAGAAGTAAGTTCTTTATAAGCCATTTTCTTCTACATGTTTATGTTTACCTCGAGCTCAGGTGCCAATGGATCGAATTCTTCTGGAAACAGACGCTCCCGACGCGCTCCCTGTTGTGGATTCCAGCATGCTCTCCTGGATCCCAGACGATCCTGCGGGATCTCCAGCCGACGAGAGCCTGGAGGAGACTAAACGGCTTGCACAGTCGAAAGCTCTAAACCATCCTACCAACATACTCTCGGTAAGAGCAAGTAAAACATCACAGGCCATGTCTATGTATATACTTTTCAGGTGCTTTCATGGGTTTCTCAACTCAAGGGCCTCTCGAAAGACGAGCTCTCAGCTGCCAGCTTCAAGAATGCCAAACGTGTATTTAGTTACGAGGGTTCCAAAGTAAATTAAAGAAAAAAAGAAGAAAAAACCAAAACAAATGCACAATAAAGGTATTATTCTTTTTTTCTCAGTTTCTCTAACCATACCTTAATAAATTTAGTGTAAATTATTATTTATTTATATTTTTAATAACTTTATTTAGCATTTAAAAAAGTTTTGAATTGTAGTTTTTCCTAATTAATTTGTATTTTAAATAATTTTTTATAATTTTTTTTTACTAATTTATAAAAGAATTGATAATAATGAGTGAAAAAAAATTTATTCATTTCTAATATTTATATTGATTGTTACTTTGAATACATATGTAAAGGTGCTAAGAAGTTACAGACCAAGAGTGGAGATAAAGTTTTTGTGAGCTGAAGTGTTTCCAAGTGGTTTTGCATTATATTTTATTTAGAGAATGTATGTTATGAAATTAAAAAATAATTTTAATTATAATTAAAATTTAAATATTAATGGTAAGGCATTATAAATTATATAAAGTTATTTTTAACATCAGATGAAATTTTTATATTTATGATAATTGTTGGAAATAAAAGTGGAATAATTTTTTTTCTTGCCTATAAATTACTTATATTTAATATGTCACTCTTAATTTTTCTTTATTGTAGCATACTATTAAAAAATATAATAGCATGAAATATATTAATAATTATAATTCTGCTTTGGAGTGGTTGAGTATGTTAATTATCCTTAATTTAATATTTAACTCGTTCAGGCTTGCCTTTTTTTACTAGTCGAGCCATGCTAGCCGATTCAAGCGGATGACATTGTCAGGTTAGGGCGGCACATCTGTTAAAAGATAACACAAGTGTCCTAAGATGAGCTCAACGAGAACAAAAATCTCACCTATCTTTATCGTCCCGCTCTAGCACCTCCACAAATCATCAAGTGTGGCAAATAAATTTCTAGAGTCATGTACCAAGAGGAAATACAACAATTTGAAACTTTGACAACAGCAGGTAAATCTTTTGATCCTTCTGCTCATCAATGAATGGCTTGATTGTATTGATATTTTCTTCCGCAAACTAGCAAAAGAAAGCAATACCTGTCAAAGTAGTAAAACAGCTGTAAACAATTCTACTGAAGCAAAAAAAGAGCAGCGTTTTACCCAATGGGTTGAATGACACCCAAAGAGCTGCACCCCGATGAACAATATCATCCAGTAAGTCAGGTTGATGCCCTTGCATTTATGGACGTCGAGCTCTTTGCATTCGTCCAAGAGTGAGTAGACGTGCTCGAGGGAATTTGCCCCGGCGACGATGTAAACCTTGTCAATTCCCACTTGGGCGATGGCCTGGAGCGGAGCGATGAGCCAGAATCCGAGATGATGTCCCAGGACGTGCTGTCCCAGCTCGTGGTATCGATCGAACCGGCGGCCATGTTCAGTCTCGTGCATTTCAATCAGTATAGCAGAGTATGCGTCGGGTGCAGCCATCACCAAACTTGGTTCTCTTTGGATCCAACTTTTCTAGTCGTTACTAGCGGTTTTTTTCCTTTCTTTCCTGCCTTGATTGGCTGACTTCTTGCTCTAGAGTTTGTAGAGTTTCTCTAGGTAGAAGAATTTCTGTCAAAAGCACAAAGCTTTTTCTTGCTTCTCGATCATGGGACCGGCTGTCCTAAAGTCGGTTGCTTACGTGTCGGCATCCTTTTAAACTTTCAGGTGGATATTTCAGAGATCCATGGTATTCTGGTATGTCTTCAGCCTCGATATCACTGATGCTCACGTCAATTTTTACGAGTTCGTGAAGCTCTTTTTCCGAGAACTATCTCACAATGGTGAGTCCTGCTTGAATCTCGATTACTTGTTCTTTTCAGCGCCCCCCAATCAAATCTACACAGATTTTGTGGTTCAATTCACTATACATCGAAAGTTGTTTCATATATTACCTTTCAAGACGGGCTCCTCTAACATCGTACACCTGGATGACAGGTTTGCATTTTATTTCTAATGTTTATTTTTTACACTGTTTGTAGAGAATGCTATTCCTTGTCATGCATGGTATAAATATAGCGAGGGTATTAAATGATATCCCAATCATGATCTTTCTTTTGGATTCGCTTGGGAGTTTGGCACCGTTCCTTCGTTCAGTGGCCCAAGGCCCTGAACCTCGGGTTCCTGTGGACACGTGGCATGTGACACGTGGCATCTGTCACGTGGCACAAAGAGGGTTTAGGTTCCGCTTCGTGGTGTTATCCTATGGTAAATCACCATAGGATAAAGGGTCAAAACCACGTGCGCTACATATACTCACCACACGAACTGGGCTGCATGCTATGTCGATCGGGCTGAGAGCCTCGGCACACAATGTGTTAGGCACTAGATCAGGATAATAGGATAAATAAAGGGTTTAGCTAGTTGGCTTAGGGTGTAAGGGATAACCCTACAATCAAGTGATCACCCCTTTAGCTAGTTGGCTTAGGGTGTAAGGGATAGCCCTACAATCAAGTGATCACCCCTTTAGCTATTTCTTCGGACGCTGCTGTTGGAAAGGTGTGACATAGAAAACGTTTTTGCGACAGGGTGGTGCGCTCTTTCCTTCCAAGAGTTTTATAAGTCTTAAAGCAGCAACTTGAGCTTCATCTGCCGGTGTCTATGCGCTGTGTCCGGGCATTGGCAACATCTTCTCAAGAAACTCTTGCTATTCTTTGTTTTCTTTTGTCACTCGCTATTTTACGTCAAAAGGGAGAGATAACAGGGAGATCGGAGATTTCCCCGATGGCATAATTTTGCACTCGTTTCTCAGTAGAGCCGAGATGTTGAAGCCCTTTGTAAGGCAAGGCTGCTACTTCTTCTTCTTCGGCTTTTTAACGAGTATGAAGAAAGAAAAAGCAAGGAAAATGCTGGCAGAATTAAGTTCTCTATAAGCTATTTTGTTCGATAAGTTTATGTTCACCTTGAGCTCAAGTGCCAATGGATTGGAAACCGACGCGGCTCGTACGTCAGACGATCCCGCGGGATGAGCGCCTAGACGAAACTAAACGGCTTGCATACTCTCGGTAAGATAAAGGAAAGCATCGAAGTATATGTACAAGGCGCGCGCCTTCAAATGTGTATTTATCAAAGAAACACCTAGCATACTAATCTCCGTCAACTTTTCGTCCCTTCACAGAGGAAATGGTTACATGGTATTACACGTTCTTTAAAAGCTTCTAAATCGTCCAGTGTCTCTTATGGCTTTTGTGCTTCTACCGTTCTCCGAATGGCGATCCTCGTTCTCTGTTCGTCGTATGAGAGATCTTTGGATTTCTACCGCGTGATTGTCGGAAGAGTGATTCTGGTCCACTGTCCACAAGAGTAAATTTTTCTTAGCATGACCGGCGATAGCAGAGATTGTGACTTACCAGCGTCAAAAAGACCAAAGTCCTCATCATCAACGTGGCTCGTGAAAATTGGCTTGAGAAAGTTTTTGTCGAAGGCTGTGAAAGGCGAGCTGTGAAAGAAAATGGTCAGCACAAACTATAGGGAAGTTAACAGTCTTTCCTTACGTTAGATATCTCGAGCTTGTCGGGCTATGAAGCTCCAAATTATTGTCGTTTCCAACCTGCGCATAAAAGAGGCCCTTTCTTCCAATCTAAATAGTGAAAGGCAGCTCACCTCTACATTTAGAGCCGCATAATCATCCCCAACGACTTCCAGCTTTTCCAGCATTGTTGATGTTGAGCCTCCAATGAAGAGGACCTATGAAGATTGCTGAATTTCGTAGGAAAAACGCGAAATAGACATACCGTGACAACGACAATAGCTGTTGTAGTGGTGAATATCGTCTCACCATTAGATTTTGTTGGTAAATCACGCTTGCTCTGCAAAGCCAACCCGAACGCCATGGCGCCTCGCAAGCCTATCAATAAAAACCATCACTTAAGATCACAATTGCCGTGCTTAACAGCTCCGTACCGCTAAACCAAAGCGCCTTCTGATGCTTGAGAGGTATTTTCCTTGCAACAGGCCGGATCAAGTTGATCAAATATGCGCAAGGAAACACGTTAGCTGCTCTGGAAAAACAATAGCATTAGCAATGCAAAATCTTCCACGAGAAATACCTTGCTGCCAGGATAAACACCTGCAGGTGCCCTCTCAGTCAAGGAACACGTCCAAGAATAAATAGAAAAACGAGAAAGGATACAATAGAGAAAAAGATGAACCCCACGTGAGACCAGGTATGGCTTTCGGTCGCAATATCCAGGCCCATGTAGATGAACCTGAAATTAAGGGTAAAACTCGGAGAAATATAAGGAGGACTCACAAAAATGTTTCTGCCAAAGACGAGATTAATTGGAAAAATCCTCGCGTAAAAGCTTGAGCAGGTTCAGACAGGTTTTGAAACGCATAATGCTTCATGAGCTGCTAGAAGGCATTAGAGGTGAAACCTAAAGACCACAAACTCACAATGCCACAAAAGAGAATGGCTATGATTCCCGAAAGTCCAAGCCCTTCCGCTAGCATGAACCTGGAAAACAAGCATAGGATCTTGTGTAATGCTGGAAAAAAAAACTTACGAAAAGTACGGGAAAAGGACGAACAGACAGCATTCCAGATTATGAAGGCTGCAGCACAAAAGCCCAATATTTAGAATGTAAATCTCTTCAACAAGTATACTACCTGTTGACAGAAAGCCCAGCGTACTTGAATAAGTGTTCTGCTGTCAAGGACTTGACACATAAAAAGAAAGAAAACAAACGATTTCCAAGGATATCAAAGCGCAGCATAATGCGACAACAACACCTGTAAAATCAACAGCATAAGGCAGAGACACGAATCAAGCAAACTAACCTGTTCCCATCGATCCTACGAACGTCTGCAAAAAGCTCGAAACAGCAACCGTGAAGCTGTAGTTTGCGGAAGGATCATGCCAAAACTTCATTAACGTCCTGCATTCAACTGTAACTAAAGTCCCGGAAATTTTGTGAAGACGACTTACTTGTAAAGAGCAATAGCCATCTGCGCAAAATCAGAAATAAGATAGAAACATTAGAGAATGGGTCCAAGCCTGACTAACTTACAGCATCATTCAAGACAGACTCTCCAAAGACAAGAGCATACAAGTTCATATCAGTCCCGAGCTCCTGAAAAGAGAGTCAGTTTGGACAAACTAGAAAGTAGCTATGGACATACTTGGAAGATTGCCAGTACGGTCACAGGATCGGTAGCTGAAATTAAAGAACCGAACAGCAAGCTTTCAAGGAATGAGAGTTTGTACATGAGAAAAAATAGTCCTCCAAGGAAACTGCAAAACACACAATGTAAGTTACTCAAGCAGCACGGGTAAGCATAGTACGTACACCAAAATTCCTGTCACCATGGAGGCCACGAAAGTCCCCACAATCGCAAATACGCAAATCGCTCCAAAGTTTGAAAAGAACGGTTTCTGGTACATCCGAGTGTCGTCAGCGCAATAGAATTTATTTTTCCCTGACGTAGAGAAGAAAGCTACTTACAGCATAAAGGTTGAAGCCTGACTGGGTGATTGTGTGTGTCAAGGATCACTAGATTTCACTGTGAACATGCTGACAAAAAGGATATAATATGATCGGCGGGAGAAGGAACAAGAAAAAGAACTCCTCGTTGAAGTTAAACCATCTCCTGCGATCGAGGATCAATGAAACTTTGCAAACAAGAGAGCAGTCCATACTTGAAACTCATCTCCTTGTTTGAGACGTTGGCGATCCCTCCCACGATGATGCCTAATTGGACGAGAATTGAGAGAGGGAAGAAAATATCGAGAAAATATCTAGAGACTCTGAGAATGCTGGCACACGAACCTATGAGCAGCGAGGCGCTGGCTTCGTGGAGATAGTAGAATTTATGGCGGCGAAGGACATGGCCGAGGACGAAGGCGAATCCGAGCATCACGATCTGCAAGAGCAAGCTGAGGCCGGCTACCTGGTGCTGCTCGATCGCGGCCTCGGAAGCCATAGCGAGCTCCTCGCCGTGCTGCGCCATGGGATTGGCGATGACGCCGCGAGAGATCTTTTAGGCGCACCAAACCCTAGCTCCTCGTCGCTCCCCCATTCAAACACAAAGTTCGTGCCAACGCGAAACACTCGGAATCAAAGCAGGGAGCTTCTCTTTAGCGTACGGAAAAACGTACGAGTCAAGCGGCGATCCCAGCCGTTGGCTATTCCGCAACGTGCCGGCATTGTAACCGTCCAGATTCCACCACTCGCCACCTGCCACGTAGCAGTTCTCCCAAATTCTGGGAAGCCGTGTATCACGAAATAAGCATAAGCGAACTCGAATCGAGAACTTATTTTTCATCAACCTGGAACAACTGAGAAAATTGTTGAGAGTTTAGTCCGTAAACCTGGAAGAATAAAAAGAAATACATACACTTGGAAGCAATAGCTTGCTTCTGGCTGTCGATTTACTCATCCTCTTTTTTCTCACTTCCGCAACCCGTGACGTTTCAGTAAGCTTGGTACAATCCCAGCGAAGATTTCTCACGTTCCTGGACTCTTTTCCTGGCGGCCTCTCGCTCCGCTTGAGCTCTGGCCTCCTCGGTCGAGTTTTGCTTCCGGTTGTCTCTCTTTCTCTTGTTGTTGTTGTTGTTGTTGGCGGCTGCTGCTGTGACCGCGAATGCCGAGGGCCTCCCCTTCACGTCGGCTGCTGGTTGAGGCTTGGACGATCCCAGTTTGCCAGGCACGGGAGGAAGGTTTTTCTTTGAAACGGTAACACCGGATGATTTGGAAAGCCTGGCTGCTTTTAGAGCTTCTGCTTCGGTTGTCCATTGTCCTATTGTTCGCACACACAAGAAGTCAGACTTGGAAAAGGAAAGAACAAAACGTATCCTCACCTAGAACATCGCTATAGTAAAAACCAGACTTCGGATCGAAGTAGTGACCAGTAGCTGGATTGAACTGGTAGCCTGTAGCAGAATCACTGAACCATTCTACACAAGGGAGGAGAAACATTAACAGTAAGAAAACCACGAAAACGAGGAAAAAAAGGAGAGAATCCAAAGCCTACCTTGCTTAGCTTCTTCGATCTGAGAACGCAGAGCTACTGTGCTCTTGCCACTGTAGGTATGTTGGCTTCCAGATGTTGTACACTCGTTAATCTTGGAGGCCGTCAGCGTTGGAGTCGCCAGAGAACTATTGCCATCGGCAATGTCATTCTGGTACTTCCTCACTGCTTTCTAAAAGAGAAAACAAAGAAACAAAGAAAAACCACTTAAGTAGTGGGAAGAACAGAAAAGCACTGCTCCAGAAAGAAAAGGAAAAGCTCCTTGACTTACAGATTCGATGTGTTCCAGCTCTTTAATCGATCGTAGCTCCTCCTTCTCCTTGTTAATGCTGTCCTTGTGGATCTTGGAAACCTTCTTCGCGACATTGTCCTTGTGCCGCATCCCCAGCTCGTGCGATCGGATGCTCACGGCATTGTTTGCAATGAAAATCCGGCAAAACTCGCACCATTTGTTCCCCTGGCTCACCCAGTACTGCGCGCACACGATTTCCATTCAAGATCTAGTCGAGAATCGAGCAGCCACGCAGCGATCTTACCTCCGTCATAGCTTCTCTCCAGAGTCGCGAATATTTGCCCTAGCCAGGGAAATTAGGGTTTAGGCGCGTTAAATGGCGCCCCGGAAGAACACTGTTAACGGCCGGGAAGGAAGCGCGAGTGAGTGATCTGGTGAGTGGCGCCACTGCCGCATTCTCGTCTTTCGTTGATCGATCGTTTCAGGGACAGGATCTTAAGCGTGGGATGAGATCGCCGTGGGCTGATCGCCATGGAGGAGAGTTTTTTCTCCCAGATAAGGCTAGAGATTGCGGACGAGTATGAGAAGAGGAATGCCAAGCTTGCCGAGTGCTTGCGATCCATGGAAGGTGTCTATGACAAGCAAAAGCAGGATTTCCAGAAGAAGCAAACCTCGCTCGAGGCGGAGAACAAAGAGCTCAAGAAAAGGCTAGAGATGGGTTTTTCGCTCGGACCCGGGCCAAAATCCAAGCACGATGGGCTGCACGACGGAGAACCCAGGCGAGTCAAAGTAAAGTTTTTGAGATTTCTTGGCGTGCTCTCGGTTGTTCTTGGGAGATAGGAACTTCTTCTCCTTCCTCTTAGAGAGTTTTCTTTCTTGAGTTCTTTTGTTCTTCGCGAAACTAACGAACGTGGAGTTTTCTTTGTGGCAGGAACTCGAAAGCAAGATTCGAGAATTAAACCAGGAGCTCCAGAAAAAGGAAGAACTGACTGGTTACCGAAGAAAGAGAGACGACTGGGCGAAGTGGAAGCTCGAGGCCGAGGTGAAAGCTCTCCGCAAGAAAGCCACGGTTGGATGGATGCTTGGAAGTCTATGGGGCGAGTAACACTTTTTCCGTCTTTGCTCTTTCATTTTCTTTTCTCCATCCGTAGCCAGCTCTTGCCTCATTGAAAAATAGTGTTGTTTGTGTCTTCTCGTTTGCGCAGAAGTGAGCCTCCAGGGTGACGACCTTGGAGAAACCATATCCATGGTGAAAATGTTGAGGAAGCTACAGAAGGACCTGGAACGCGAAAGCTGGAACGTCACGGGTGGAAGCACCGATGCTCTGGACAAAGATGTGCAAGTTCTCCTGGACAATGTTCATGCGGTCATTCAGAAATCTGGAGTCCCAGTTAAGGTACAATCACTTTCTTGGCTTTCTTTTAGAATGTTTTTTTTCTTGTTTATACGTTTCTAGATCTCCCTTTCAGCCACTCTAGAGTTTGGTCTTGCTTTCTTGTTGAAACTGATCGTTCAAGATCACGTCCAGAATGAAATCATGTTTTTCTTTTTGTTTTTTCAGAGCAGTAAAAAGGACGAAAGCTCTCAGGCGCCGACGTCTCCCACTGCGGAACGCATGTAAGCTAAGCAGTCGCAGTGCCGTGCCTTGCACACTACTCATGCACGATATGATCTCTCACACTTTTTTCTTTATCTTTTCGTGCCAGGGCCAGAATCGGCCTCGTCATGTCCCCTCGATCTCCGGCCTCTCCGGCCTCTCCAAAGTCTCCGAGAAGATCAGTCCCTTCCACTTCTGTGAGCTTTGCGAAGGAGAAAGAGAAGGAAAGAGACGGAGACGTGCCAAACGCGCTAGCAAACACGCTCCTCGAGATGCACAACTTATGCGAGGATCCGGAAGTCCAGGGCAAGGGCCGGGGTGATATCAAGCAAATGCTCTCCAGCATCGACGCAAACATCAGAGCTCTGCTCGAGTCCGAAAAGAAGCGCACCACTGTGAACAGTGACAATCCAGTTGGAAAGCCAAGCTCGCCACCAACAAAAACCGTGTGGAAAGGATGAAAAAAACAGCTTTTTTCTTCGCCAAGATGAAGAACACTCGTTTAGAAGCTCATGGAAGTATTGTCCTTCGATTAAAACTCTAGAACAACCATGCGTGCGCTCAAAGCCAGAAACAAGCGAATGAAGTTCTTACCGAGCATGGAGTCCTTCCATTCTCCTCGCCTTCCTGAAAAAAATAAAACGTTCGCCAAGAACACTAGTTTAGAAGCTCATGGAAGTATTGTCCTTCGATTAAACTCTGAAACTATAATCATTTTGGTACTAGTTTATCAAATGTGTTAGTGTTCTACTTTAACCATGCAATCAAAGTCAGGCTTGCTTGCATGGGTGACACTGCTCATTACTTAGCGAATGGAAGCAAAGGAAGTTTTTACCGAGCATGGAGTTCTTCCATCCTGCTCGTCTCCTCCTCCTCCTTTCGATCTTAAGTCCACTCTCCCTGCTTAGCAGCGATGGAGGCCACAAGTGCACGCCTTTGAGTTCCTGCTGGCCAAGCTCCACACTCTGGTCGGCTTTCAATCGCTCCATCGATGGCCGCCTCCTCGCCCCAAAGCCATACGCCTGGCCGTGCCACACTCCGCAATACGATCCGGCCGCTTGCAGCGCTGCTAGGCAGCTCCAAAACAATCCCTTCGCGCGAAGCGACGTGGTCGGGGCCATGCAAACTCCAACCTGGGAGTCGGGCATCGCTGGTCTCGGCTGTCCGCTGAATGGAAGCGGCGCTCTTTCCACTCCCTGCTACCAGGACCAAGTCTCCGCGTACGCCATCAACGTCTCCAGCGTCTCTCACGTCCAGGCCGGAGTTCTCTTCGCGCGAAAGTTTAACTTGCGGCTGGTACCGGGCATGACTACTTTGGCCGGAGCACTGCCACTGGTTCCCTGTGTATCTGGCTCCACCATCTCACGGACATCTTCACGGACGATTCCTTCGTTCCCGAGAGTTGTCCGGGATGTGATCCGCTCCCTGCCGTGACTGCCCAGCCTGGAGTAACTTGGAAGTCTCTCTACGATTTCCTCGACCGCAGAGGACGAGTCGCCGTCGGGCCTATGGCATCCTCCCTGAGTGCTGCCGGAGGTTTCGTCCAAGGCGGTGGCCACGGGCCTCTGTCAAGAACTTTCGGCTACGCTGTTGACAACACTCTCGAGCTCAAGGTGGTGACGGCTGATGGACGAGTCCGAGTAGCCAACCAGTGTCAAAACCCGGAGTTGTTCTGGGCTCTCAAAGGTGGCGGCGGAGGGACTTTCGGTGTCGTGGTTTCCACGACGTACCGGACCTTTCCTGAGCTCAAGCTTGGCTACCTTCACACACTGTTCATCGCTGCGTCTTCCAGCCCCTCGAGCCACAGGGATCTCGTCGCCAAGTTTGTGGAAGTCACGCCTTCCATGGACGAAGCTCGGCTTGCCGGCTACTTCTACATCTACACCAGCCTCGTAATCATCTCTTTCGTGCTGCCGAATGGAACAGTCGCGGAAGCACAGGCTGCGTTTGCTCCCCTGGTTTCCTACGTCGATAAGAACCCGGAGCTCTTGGTCATCAACAACACTGTCACTTCCCACGACACTTTCGTCCAGTGGCAAGACGGAGTTCTCTGCGCAGTCAATCCAGTACTGTGCACCGATGCAACCGGGACAAGCGGGCTTTTCGCGACGCGGTTCATGCCCAAGAAGATCTTCCAGGAATCACCAGCTGTGCTGACCGACACCCTCATGCGAGTTCTGTTCGAACGTAACTTCAGTCCCATCTTCGGCTTGTTTGTGTTTGGAGGCGCAGCATCGAGCGTCCAAGGCAGGAACAATGCCCTGAGCGCCGTCTGGAGGGAGGCTCTGTGGCATGTACTCATCGTTAGGACCTGGAACGAGAGCACGAGTGTGGAGGAGCGATATCAGTTTTCTCGAAGTCTCACCTCCGCGAATGGTCTGTTTCGAAGCATCACGCCTGGCGGAGGGTGTTACAAGAACGAAGGAGATTACTTCGAGCCATACTGGGAGGAGTCGTTCTTTGGTGAGAAGTACTCGACGCTCAAGGCCATCAAGGAGAGCGTGGATCCGACTGGCCTGTTCTTGTGTTGGAAGTGCGTTGGAAGTGAAAGCCTGGTTCAAGGTGGAGCTTCTTAGAAATTGTTCTTACGCAAGAGTAAAAGAGACTTAGCATTTCTATCGCGAGAAAGTCGAGTATAAATGCTAGCCAAAACCGATACGCGAAACAGGACAGTGCTGGCGTTGCTGAAACGTCTGGAAAATGTTAGCTTACCATCCAGCGAAAACAACGTGGAACTCGCATCAAACCTTTGATCCGATTCACTTGGAATTTTTGGGTCGAATATATCTTCCGGGTTTGGCTGCTGCCAAGATCATAAAAAAAACTCACATTTGACAATATACTCCACAAGGACATATATACTTTGCCTTCGTGTCCAAGACCTGATTAAATCCAAGCGTCGTTATGAAAGACTTTGGAGCGAAAGAAGAAAAGACAGGACACTTACGTCGCCGAAGTGATCGTGTTGTGGTCCACATACGCTTTAAGTAGGCACAAGGAAGAGAAAGTCCAGCAAACCATGGAGTTGTCCTTTCATCTGATTCTTCTCTCTCTCCTGCTTAGCAGCTATGGAGAGAGCAGCTGCAAATGCACGCCTCGGAGCTCCTGCTGGCCAAGCTCCACAATCTGGTCAGCTTTCAATCGCTCCATCGATGGCCGCCTCCTCGCACCAAAGCCATACGCCTGGCCGTGCCACACTCCGCAATACGATCCGGTCGCTTGCAGCGCTGCTAGGCAGCTCCAAAACAATCCCTTCGCGAGGAGCGAGGTTGTCGGAGCTATGCAGTATCCGAACTGGGAGTCCGGCATCACCGGTTTCGGCTGCCCGCTGAATGGAAGCGGCGCTCTTTCCAGTCCCTGCTACCAAGACGATGTCTCCATCTACGCCATCAATGTTTCCAGTGTGTCTCACATCCAGGCCGGAGTCGTCTTCGCCAAAAAGTATAACTTGCGGCTGGCGATCAAATCGAGCGGGCACGACTGGCTTGGCCGGAGCACTGCGCCTGGCTCGCTGTGCATCTGGCTCCACCATCTCACGAACATCTTCACGAACGACTCTTTCGTTCCGCAAAGTTGTCCAGTAAGTGATCCGGTCCCTGCTGTGACTGCCCAGCCTGGTGTTACTTGGGACTTCCTCTACGACTTTCTGCGCCAGAGGAACCGGGTTGCCGTCGGGCCGATGGGATCCTCCCCGAGTGCCGCGGGAGGCTTCGTCCAAGGCGGTGGCCACGGGCCTTTGTCGCGGACGTTCGGCTACGCTGCTGACAATGCTCTCGAGTTCACGGTGGTGACGGCTGATGGACGAGTCCGAGTAGCCAACCGGTGCCGAAACCCGGACCTGTTCTGGGCTCTCAAAGGCGGCGGCGGAGGAACTTTCGGCGTCGTTGTTTCCGCGACGTACCGGACTTTCCCTGATCTCCAGCTCGGCTACGTCCAGACTCTGTTCATCGCTGCGTCTGCCACTCGCTCCAGCCACGAAGATCTGATCGCCAAGTTTGTGGAGGTCACGCCTTCCATGGACGAAGCTCGGCTTGCCGGCTACTTCTTCCTCTACACGAACTATATCACCCTCTCTTTCGTGCTGCCGAATGGAACAGCCGCGGAGGCACGGGCGGCGTTTGCTCCCCTGGTTTCCTACGTCGAGGGGCATCCCCAGCTCTTCGTCATCACCTACACCGTCACCTCGTATCCAAACTTCGTCCAGTGGCACGACGGAGTCCTCTGCGCGACCAATCCCGGAGTGTGCACCGATCTAACAGGCGCGCCTCGGGCTCTGGCAACGCGGTTCATGCCCAGGGCGATCATCCAGGACTCACCGGCGGTGCTGACAAACGCCCTCGTGAGAATTCTCTTCGAGCGGAACTTCAGTCCCATCTTCGGCTTGTTCGTGTTTGGAGGCGCGGCAGCGAGCGTCCGGGGCAGGAACAATTCCCTGAGCGCTGTCTGGAGGGAGGCTCTGTGGCATGTCAGCCTCTCCCGGACCTGGAACGACAGCACGACGGTGAAAGAGCGGCAGCAAATCTTCCAGTATCTTACCACGACCGACGACATTCTTCGCAACATCACGCCCGGCGGAGGGTGCTACAAGAACGAGGCGGACTACTTCGAGCCATACTGGCAGGACGCGTTCTTCGGGGAGAAGTACTCGGCGCTCAAGGCGATCAAGGAGAGCGTGGATCCAACCGGCTTGTTCCTGTGCTGGAAGTGCGTTGGAAGCGAAAATCTGGTCCAAGGCAACTGCAAAGCCGCAGGAAATCGAAAATCGGAACATACCTCACTCACATAGACCCCACATAGACATTGTAAATAAAGGTAATACATTTGTTTTCCGAGCACGAAAAACAATGACAGCTTGTTTCTCCGAATTTGGCAATGATATGGACTCTGCAGCATTTTTCCAAGTTGGATGTGAACATTGTAGATTTATTTACATATAATTAATTACGTTTGAATGCAAGTTATTCCTTGTAAGTAAGATGTAAGCTCCTAATTACATACAATCCACCACGCTTACAATCCATCATGCTTTATGTAAGTTTCCTTTAATATGGACTTTGGCTACTTATATACATTCCTTGTAGATATAAAATTTTAAAGCCACCATGGTTCATGTAAGCACCCCACTTCCTTGCAAATTCACTTTTTTAATACTTTTAGCTCTTTAATTCTGACTGATTACCTATCCTCAAAGGTCTAACCCTAAACTCTTAATAATGTTGTTTCCTTTTGGTTGCATCAGAAAATTTCATAAAGGTTGGCTTTTATGAAAATTATGGCAATCAGGATTAGGTTCCAGGTCATTGTGGTCTATTATAGGGGAGTGGCTAGGCATCAAGGCACAGGCCAATAGAAATTTTTTCACAATTAAATCTTCAATATTTCTGTTTGCTTTGCATGGGATCTTTCCATGGAACAAAAGGATGAGAAAATTCCAAATCAAAGTTGCATCTCTTTTACAGCTTTTGTTCTCCCTTTTTTTTAAAAATTTCTTTCCCTCTTCTGCTTTGTTTGTAATAGCTCCAATGTTTAGAAGAGCCTTTGCAAGTATTTACATACACTAGACTTGATCCAGGTCTTCCTGTAGAAGTTGAGCAGGCAAGTCTTGGCATGAATCCCCACCACAAGTCTTCATGTAGTGTTCTTCACGGGATCGAAACATGCGCTGGTCCTCCATTTTCCAACGGAATGACTAATAACACTTTACAATAAATCCTTTGTAGAGTTACAAAAAAGTTGCGTGTTGGTAAGCTCGCTCAGCTCGTGCCGTGATGATCCTCGGCAACTATCTGGCTTGAATCCATGGCGCTGCTCTGCTGCTGCTCCTCCCTCTTAGAGCCTGGAAAGCTGGCCCTGGCCAGCTCGCGCAGAGTTTTCAGCTCGCTCGAGTTCGTGTCCGACCTCGACGGCCTCGTCTTCTTGCCTTCAAACGACACCGACCTCGACCAATGGCCTGGAACCTTGTGAAACGATCCCGCTGGCTGGAGGAGCCTCCCGGAGCCGGACGAAGCCCTCGACTGCTGGCCCAGGCTGCGAGGATCGACGAGCGAGGGGGAGCCTGGATCGTAGGCCGGACCGCCCGTCTCGGTGAAGGAGATCGGGGAGCTCGAGGGAAGAACTTTGCTGCGTTGTTGGAAGTCCGGGGACGGGCTGAGATGCACCACGGGGACCAGTCCGATCCTCGGCTGCTGCGGAGGAGTGATGAACTTGGGCCACTTTCTCTGCGGGATGAATGGAAAAACCAGTCCTTTCCCCAGCATCCTCATCCCCGCCTCGAACGATGGCTCCTGGGGAGCCGAGAGCTTGAGCAGCTTCTCCATGAGCGCGTACCACTCGTTTATCAGCTGGCACATGAAGCTCGACAGCAGCAGCGTCACCATGGCGATGCCCAGGCTTCTCCGGTTGTCGGACGAGTGGTCGTCGGGTAACAGGGCCATCCCGATGCTGAAAACCGCAAGCTCGCACAGCAGCGACACGCTCTCCACCAAATGCACGCCCCTTCGAATGTAAGGCTTGAAGAGGATCAGGTAAAGAAGCTGGATCAGAGTGACTGCCAGCGCCAGAGAGAGCTGCCTCCACGAGACTTCGCTTCCAGGATGCACTCCAAAGACTATTCCCAGGGTGGCACGCCTTGCGATATCGGCCATGATGTAGAAAACTCTGGCAGCACCTATTAGCTTGTGCGCTTTGGAGACGGACATGTCGACGCTGTCTTCGTCGGAGTTGACGGGCTTCATCCTGCCGATGCCTTTGCCTTCACTGTCCACCCATTTTGATCCATAGTCCTCGTCCACATATACCACCCTGGGAGGACCTTTCCGGTTCTCAAACAGCAAGCCAAACTTGGGGATGAAACTGGACGAGAGACCCTCCTTGCGGACCCACTTTCCAATGTGACTTTCGCCGAGTAGCAAACGCACTACTCCCCGGCAAACGTGACCGCCTGCCTGACTCCTGTACTCTTTGTACTGAACCAATGCACCCCAGATGACCGCGACCAGCAAAAACATCAGCACGGAGAGGAAGAAGCCAGTTGGAACTGCAAGTAACAACACTCCCACAATGATCCCACCGGTTGTACCACCTGAGCAAGGCAATCGTGACTCGCACAAGCAAAATAACAGCAGACTTCTTACCCCGAATGATGAAGGCCGCTGCTTGACAGATACACGGTAAAGCAACGTAAAGGAGAAAAATCTCGAAGCGAGGAAGGGAAAGAGCGCCTCTGAGAGTTGCCTCCGTTCTCCATCGTAGAAAATAGAGTAGCAACAGGTGGAAAAGAACGAAACCACCCCCGAAAACTCCCAACCAAAACATATTCTTCCCGAAGTCGTTCCATCTGTAGCTTGAATCGAAGAAGTTAATTATATACATGACCTTGTGAACTTCTACGTACCCGTTATATTTCCCTTCAAGAACGACAGATTCTCCGTGTTGCATCTGTGAGAAAGCCTCCAGGTAAATGATAGCAACACAATGCGTCATTTGTACCTGAAAGAAAAGCCTATATTCGTCTGAGCTTAACGCGGGTCCATAAAGAGTTGTGTTGGACCCCAGCTTTCGGCGTGTTTCCAAGTAATCCAAAGAATAAGGACTGTTGGCTTGGTAATGTAGCTTATGGCTCAGAATAGATTGCTGTTTTTCCCATGGAAGCTTGACGTGAGGGATAAACCATTTCATGCTCCGGACAGTTTCACTATACTCAACAGGAAAATTCGTTGAGGCATAATATGATAACGCAAACACTTGTAGATGTCCGGCCATTCCCTGCATACATTCCATCAGTACAGAGTGGCATCCTCATGATTCACATACCAGAAGATTTCCTGATGGATTTGACACAATAGAGCTCACAGTCCTGCTAGTAATCGCACCAGCTCCCCCCAAACTAGTGGAGGCTATAGAGACCAGCCCCGAAGTTATGAATGTAGCAAGTATACCCGCTGTGACAAAACAAGACGAAGCGACTGCAATTGCAGGTGGTGAATCTAGAAACAGAGTAGCCCGTCAGAAACAAGAAACTTTTTCTCTACTGAAAAGACTGAAAAACTTACAATGGCGTACTTGCAGCTGATTGGATGCAAGATTTGGATTTCCGGCAATATCAGTCGTCTTGTTTTCAGATATAAACACCGTGACAACTTGGTCAGCGGGAATGAGTAGCTCCGCGAAGTATTTGCTCTTAGTTATTTCGCTTAGCCTGCAATCCGGAAACGTTTAAAGTTGATAACCCAACATAAATTTGCTAACCTCGTAACTTTGCCAGCAGACAAGTTGAAATCTAATGAATCAAATAAAAAAACCGGTTCAGAAAATTCAATCCAGACTCCGGTAGTGCGTTTCCTTGTTTTCACGGACGACGATGGGGATAGTAGTAACTCCGGCCTCTTACGATCTAGAGCCAAGCTTCACGGTTATTTACATTCACAAGAAAGGATTACCGTATAAGAAGCTGACACGGTTTGACTGCAATACGTAAGTTCCATCACGGCTTTGCAAGCCTCCCTGAAGTTGTACTGTCACAACGGCGGAGTCCGAGATATTCGTGAGCTGGGGAAAGAGACTTTGAGTGCCGAAATATAAGAATGCAGTTTAGTTACCAGAAAGCCGTATCTCCGCTTGCCGTGACTTTTTCTTTCTGTTGGTTGAAGAACACCATCAGTAACATTCAAGGCTCCAAGAATCTCTTCAGTCGTGTTGACTATAGGCCGTGAAAAGTCCAAAAATATCCCAAGGTCGCCGATATCTCTGGTCACCTGCAGGGATCGCGGTTGCTTATTGACTACCACTTGAACTTCCGTGATTCCGGTCCAGAGGTTAACATCAACAGGAGTTCTGTCTGCAAATGAAACACCACAATTACATTCATACTATAGCTGAAAGAGCATACCAAAGCGCACAATGACACTCGAGTTGTCTCCCCTCCGGAACTTGTTCCCAGCCAAATCGCTGCAAAATTCTTTTCCTAACGCAACAATGACTCGGCCCGACTGAGTTGCAGCTGATAAATTGAGTACAAGGTTGTACTCCAAATTCGGTCGGATAACGCGCAAGCTTGATGGCACAATACTTCCAGGACCGTGGGTAGCTACCTAGAAAAGTTGAAAATTGTTTGCAAGAAAGCATTTTCTACCTTTTTTAAAAACTTACAGGACAATTTGCAATGTCAGAACACTTAAAACCACCATCTCCAGCGCAAGATTCACTTAATATGATATGCAAAGTGGCATTCAAGGCATTGGTAAATTCTCTGTCAACCGTTATTGATCCGGTTGGGGCTATAGAATCTGTAAATTGGTCGTTAGATATGAAAAACCGAGAAACTGGGGAAACTGACCGACAGTCCAATTGTAGCTCACGGATGCTGAAGAATTGACCCTCTGTATCGAAACTTCAAAAACGTGATCGCCATCTATTAAACTCGAGTAAGAATCTCCGCGAGAAGCGCAATCGTGAAATGGCGATCCATCCAGCTGCGCATCAAACAGCAAACTTTAAGAAACGAGATAGAAAGAAAAAAACAAACACAAAGAAACACAAAGAATCCGATACAGTACCTTGCATTGAATAGCACAGTCACTGCAAGCATCGTTTCCTCCCGAGGCATTCTTTACCATGAACTCAAAGGTGGCATTCCTTTGAGCAGTCACGAGCGCCGGTGCTCTCGTAAGCACTGGAACCTGAGCTTGAGCCCATAAACATCCCGACAAGAGCGAAAGAATCCACAGCAGCGACGCCATTGCACCTCCAATCGACCAATCCCAGCTTCCACCAATCAAAGATCATACTGACATCCTCTCGAGCGCCTGGAAATGCCCCGAGAAGACAATGTAGGTAACCTCTATCCACAATCTATCCAGTTCTATAAATCCCCCGAGCCTAGCAGTAGCGTCGAAGCTCAGGATCCATCCCTTTGCCTTGTATCGTCACCTAGAATCCACATTTAGCGCTTAAGCTACAGCATTCTTCCAGCCGAATCCGCCGCGACGTGCCGCAGCTCGATCTACCCGCAAGCATCGCCCGGCCAAGAATGTAGCTCGATCTTACCACAAATCCACAGCTATCGTCGCGGCGCCGATCGAGCGCGCCAGAGGAAGAACCCTGATTTACCCTCTCGCCCTCGCGCGAATCGAAGAAATATTGCCTCTCTCCTCTCTTCCCTCCCTCTCGCTTTTTACCGCGCGGTGAAAAAGGGATAAAAAACCACGTTTTATGCACACGGTGAAAATTGCGGCGTCATATCGGACCCGTTCATGCCCTCATCCGACGGACAATACCATGCCACGTCACAGCGCGGTACCGTACGAGCTCGAGAATTTAGGTCCAGGCTGGCAGTGATGGGCCCATGGGTTTGTATTGCGTATGTATGATTCGTGCAGACTGACCACCACGATTATGGCCCATGTGGCCCAAACGCCAGAGCAAAATCTGGCAATTGCTGGTTGGCATAGGAGCTCCAACACCTCTATAAATTGTTATCTCTAGACGTATGTACATACCAACAAGCTACGTATTAAGCGCGATAGCGGCGTTTTGTTCGCAGACGTTTATAACCTTTTGTAGCGTTTCGCGGATCAAATAACTTTTTGGAGCTATTCCTTACTGTGATAACTTATCACAGCCTTCGTCTATATAATCAAGAGATCGCAAAGCTTTGTCTTCGTATCTATCTTATCAAAGCTTCATTGTCTCGGCCTGTTTTCTTCTTAAAGATCACACTGTGAAAAACAATGCCAATCGATTATTATTTCCCTGGAAGGTCAGCTCGTAAATGCCCAAAAAACACAGCTCTAAGAAGTGAAAGCTAGTACCAGTATAGTCAAAAAAATTGGAGTATCTTACAGTTCTTTTCTTTTTCTTGAAAGCTTTCGCTGGAATCTCGTTGTCTCGTTCGTTCTCGTTGTTCTTCGTTGTCTCGTTCGTTCTTCTTTCTTTCCTTATGTACAGCGTCGCGTCCCCTCTTCTTTTTCCTCCCGAGTTCCTGGAAAACTTCTCTCGCGCCCCCGGGAAGAACCGATCGATTAACCACCGTAGCTGGAAACCGTGTGCTGCCTCATCGGCTTGGACATGTGTGACATGATAAACCGCGAGTAGAGGCCGCCTCTTTCCATGAGAACGTTGTGAGCTCCTTCTTCCACAATCCGGCCGTCGTGAAGCACCGCCACTTTGTCCACCCGCTTGAGCATCGCAATCCTGTGAGCTATAACGATGGTGGTCTTGTTCCCCAGAATGAGCGTGTCCAACGCCTCCTGTACCACCCGGCTCGACTCACTCTCCACCGCGGAGCTTGCCTCGTCCAGCAGCAAGATGGGAGCGTTCTTGAGCACAACTCTCGCGATGGCGATTCGTTGCTTCTGTCCGGCGGTGAGCTCCACCCCTCGCATGCCGATGTGCGTGTCGTATCCGTGAGGCAGCCCGCTGATAAACTGGTGAGCGTTTGCTATTCGGGCAGCCTCCTTCATCTCGGCCTCGGTTGCGTTGCGCTTGGCGTAGATGATATTCTCTCGAATGGTGGTGGAGAATAGAACCGGCTCTTGCTGTACCAGGCCCATGTTGCTGCGAAGCCACCGCAGGTTGAAAGCCTTGAGGTCCTTTCCGTCCAGTGTCACCGAGCCGGCTACGGGGTCGTAAAACCGCTCGATCAGAGAGATGACTGTGCTCTTGCCGGATCCTGAGAGTCCCACGACTGCCACCGTCTGTCCACCCGTTGCCTTGAGATTGAAATCGTTGAGTATAACTGCGTCTGGCCTCGTCGGATATCTGAACTCGACGCCACGAAACTCTATGGTACCAAAGATGTTTGGAAGCTTCAGGCCGTCACCATCGTCGGACTCGATTGTTGGTTTCCTGTCAATTATCTGAAACACGGGCCTCAGTGATTCCCGTCTCTTGAGGATGTAAGGTGCCAGACAGAAAGGCTCCACCAGCGCAAACGTTGCGAACGAGAACACGGTGAATGCCTTCAAGACTTCGGTGAGCCTCCCGTCGTGCCTTTTCAATATCTCGGTCCCGTACCAGAGAACGAAAGCGTTGGATGCAAACAGAAGGAACTGAGAAATGCCGAAGGCGATCCCTGTGACCTGACCACGGATAAAACTTCGGGCCTGGAGTCTCGCGAGTTGGTTCTTGTACAGCTGAACGACTTTATCTCCAGCAGAGAAGGATGCGATGGTGCATATATTCCTGACTGCGTCCTCAATGACTACGGAAGCTTTCGTATGCCATTCTCTAATGTTCCCAGAAAATCCCATCACCCACATTTTCTGCAACAATCTGTAAATAAGAAACGTTCACAAACAGAAAGAGATGGCGTACCTGGAAAATAGCTGAGACTATAAGCAGAGGAATGGTAGCAATTGCAACTGTTCCCAAACGCCACTGGAGCAAGGTCGTCAATAAAACAGTCACGACAACAGCAGCGGTGTCTTGGATGATAATTGAGAGCCGGTTGCTAAAGGCTGCCCGAACAAAAGTAGCATCATTCGCCAGCTGAATCGACAGGGCCTCGGTACTATTATCGTCTTGATCAAACCACCCGATCTCGTTGCGTAAAATTGCTGCCACAGATGCACAACAATAAGTTTAGTCAAATGCTCTAGGATGGTTGAGAGGTAAGTACCTGAGAACATTAGCCTTCGAACTCGTTCAGTCATTTTTTCTCCCATGATGCCGAAGTAAAAGTGTTGCAGGAAGTTGACGAAAACCGTCGCTAATCCCATACCAGTCACAAGCAAGCACCACTTGTTTATCTCACGTTTACTGCGGTGGTCCTGCGCGTGATAGTAGTACTGAGCAGTTTGAACGACGAAAAGGGCCATTAACGGATTGAAGGAGCCAAAAAACGCCGCACCGATGCTTCCGACAAAGGCATAACACCATTCAGGTCCACTCAGTTGTATGAGCCTCCAGTAGCTTGGCTTCTCATTGTTCCCAGGAGTCTCGGGGATAATGCTCGTCGATTCCAGCTCTACCAGCTGCGAGATGGATCTGCTGAATGTCTTCGAGTGAGATCTCTCGTTCTTGGGGTCAGATGTCAGGAGCGGCGACACGGGAGATTCCGGATCAGACTTGAAAGGTATTTGTTGGAAGTTGTGAATATCCAGCGGTGGCGGGTGTTGCGGATTTTTTTCTCCTTCCGCCGTTCCGCTGCCAAACGTTACGGATTCTTTGTCTTCAGATGATGGACTTGGAATTTGAGGCGGTGAGCTGTGAACGCTACTAAACTCCGCGTAGCGTTGTCCATTCTGCGCTGCGACGGAAGAAGAGCGTATCAATCGAGGAGAGGAGGTATGAGCTGTTTCTCTGAAGCTTTTCTTGTTCCTGGAAATGAAACGCTAGCTTAGAAGATGATGGCATAAAGATTCTTACCAAGGAACAACTCTTGCCGTCTCCTCAAGGCGAATTAGTTCTGCGTACGTTCCATCGGCAGCCATCAATTCATCGTGAGTACCAAGCTCAACAAGCTGGCCTTCTTCAATAACAGCGATTACATCCACATTCCGGATATTAGCCAGGCGGTGAGCGATTACGAGTGTCGTCCGACCAAGTATCAGTATGTCAAGGGCCTCTTGCACGTTCCGTTCGGCCTGTGGATCAAGATTACTGGTAGCTTCGTCAAGTAGTAGGATGGGTGGATTCTTTAAGACGGCTCTAGCGATGGCTAGCTTTAGCTTCATTTCTTCTGACAAAGTTATCCCTCCATCGCCAAGCTGCAGATATTATTTAGTTCCAGAAAGTCAGGCACAACTAAAAATCTCACCAGTGTATTGTATCCGAAAGGTAGCGAGCTGATAAATGCATGAGCATGAGCAGTCTTCGCAGCCTCCTCGACGTCATCCATGCTTGCGTTTGATCGGCCATAAAGAATGTTGTCTTTGATGCTAGACGCAAGCAGCGCAGGCTCGGGACTCACTAACCCAATCTGACTTCTCAGCCACGTCATTTGAAGGTTTCGTACGTTTTCACCGTCCAAAAGCACCTCGCCTGCACAATCACGATCAGAACCATGGAGAATATGTGATAGCCTCACCTAAAGTTGGATCATAAAAGCGAAGAATTAGTGATAGAATGCTACTTTTCCCAGCACCATTGCTTCCAACCAAAGCCATGGTTTTCTTTGGAGCTACTTGGAGATACAAGCCACTCAATATGGGTACATCGGGGCGCGAAGGATAGCTGAAATAGACATGCTTGAGCTCCAAACTTCCTTGAACGTTAGCAAGAATATTTCCCTGTTGAGTGTTAGCGATTGTCCTTTCAATCACGTCATAGAGTCTATAAGCTGCAATCTTGCTCTGTTCAAAAGCCGGGAAATTTGTTGCTGCCTGGTTCAACCCTCTGCATCGGCACGTAAGTAGGATACTAGAAGCAAGAGAGAATCTTTTAGCTTACAGTCCGCTTAAAATGATTGCGAAGGCTGCCACGATAACTTCACCACCGTTGGCATCTCCTTTTCCAACAAGTATTCGACCAAACCACAATTGAAGAGCGCAAGAACAGATAGCTAGACCGTAGATAAAGCCAAGACCAACGCCTTGGACAAGACTGATTTGAACGCCATATCCAAGTGTAGTCTGAAGAGCGCTTGCATACAAGTGCTTCACCAAAGTTTCATTCGCAAAAGCATATATAGTTCGGACATATGCAATAGCCTGAGCACAAAAAAGAAAAACACTTTTATGTTTAACAGAGAACGTGATTGATGACACACCTGTTCAGCGATACTCGCAGCTTCAGAGTAGGCATCTTGAACGCTTTCAGCAAGCTTATGCAAGAAAATGTTGGAGATGGCTCCAGCAACAACTATTAAAGGTCCAGTCGCTAGCGTCAAGAGAGCTATCTGCCAGCAGTTCAAAAATCCTACTACAAGACCCCCGACGAATGTAGCCATGTTATGCACATAATGGCTGACCTGTTAGAAAAAGTATAAGCCTAGCTGTTAGAGATGGAGACTCATAATGCATACCTTTTCCCCAATAGTATACTGGATAAACAGAACATCGTTCGAAACTTGGCTCACAATATCTCCATTGCTTGCATAACTCTCAAAAAACCCCATGTCTTGATTGAGCAAAACTTGCAGATATTTTGACCGCATTACAGAAGATTGCCTCTCCGCAGTCAAGAGCCAGCAAGAGACCTCTGCGGGAAAAACATGACAAAAGCGATCACCATCATTTCAAAGAACAACGCACGACACTTACGTATCCATCCAGCCAGCAAAACAGCTCCCGCAATGTAAAGAATATCCAGGACATACTATAAGAAAGAAAGAATTGCGTGAGCATAGAAAGAAAGGAAAAGAAAAAGGCAAAGTCGCAAAGAACTGGTACTAACCTGCGTGAGATCATCGTATACTCGCGCTTGACTCGTTCTGTGCCGGTAGCAATTGAGGATTTTCCCAAAGAAGTGGAGGTAAACCGGCAGCGCAGCACCGTGAACAGCCGATGCGAGTGTCCCAAGGATCATAAGCACCCAGTCCCAAGTTCCAGCATACACGAAAAGCTTGAAAAACGAGACTGCCACTGGGGAGAAATCTATATCCTCTTCATCCTCTAGAACATCGTCATCCACGGGTATAGCATCACCCCCAGCATCCAAGTAAGGCGAAGGCGACTCTGGCGGCTCCGAGACCTCGGACACTGGCGTCAGTGGCTGGATGTGAGGTGGAGACCATCCAAACAGCCCCTTGTTCAACATTTCTTCCCCCTCCTTCCACTACTCCAGGCACCTCATGCTATCTCCTGCTGGATCTTCCCGCTTACTCCTCGAGCAGCATCACAAATTTCCCCGCATTTTCACCTCACGTTATCCAGTCCGAGGAGCTGTCCATCCTAGCAATCCCTCCAGCGCCTCATTCTGGACTTCCAGCGTCGCGCGAGCCGAAATTTCCCACCCGGAAGCTCCCGGCTGCCGCAAAACCCTACCTCAATTCCAAGAACACTGCATTGCCCGCGGGAGAGCTCCCGGCGCCCGCAAAGAGAGCTCCCGTAGCTCGATCGACCCGTGCGCCTCGCCCTGCCTTTTGCCCAGCCCTAGAAAATGTAGAACAGCTTTAGCGAAGAAAATGCGAGGACATTACTTTACGAGAATGAATGAAAGGAATGAATTGTGTGGTGGACCGCAAGCGTATCGGCCGTCGATCCGAGGCAAGATGGAAGCCCCATATTCTGCCACGTGTGCGCGCTTGACTGGCTGGCCAGCCGCGTCAATGTTCCAACACTTCTTTTTTGACTGACGGCACGCACTCACACATTAGAAAAATGGTTACAAGCCTTTCTTTTCTCCTTCGTCTCTTTGTTCTAGACGCTGGCCCTGCGACCAAAAGGAAGAATCCTTTAAAAAGAATCCACCCAAGAGAAGGACGCATCGATCAGTCTTTAATACCTCCTTCGAAGGACCCAAAACAAAACTATGGAGAAAAACTTACGTCATTTAGCTCAAAGAGATCATCACCACCATCATCAGCGCTTCACTGTTCCCCTCATCTCTCTTGAATTAGTCAAACACAAGCGGGCCATCTTCGCACTCGACTTGATCTGTGGAAAGCAGCGTTAGAACTTTTCAACTTCCTCCTCGATACAAACTGAAAGAACTTACTTAGCTCAAAGAGATCATCTCCTCTTCGCTCTCTCCCTCGGCATCTGACCTGGCTGTGCTGCTGCTACTGCTTTCCGAGACAAAAGGCAGCTCCACTAGAGGAGCGTTCGCATAAAACTCTTCCAAGTTGTAGAATTCTCGCTGCGATGGTAGAAAGATGTGCACAACGACATCACCTGCGAAGGGCAGAGACTTTTCGATCAGTACCAGCAGTGTAAATATCTGGCAGTAACACACACACACACAGAGAGAAGAATATTAAAAGACGCTCACCGAAATCCATGAGTGTCCAGCCCGAGGGCTTTCCGCTTGGTCTTGGAATTTTCCCGTACTGTTCTTGGGCGATGTCTTCTATTCTTCCACTGCAGATTTTAGAAACCGTACCTGGTAAGATCATAGAAAGAAACGATGGCAGGCTTACACTATAGCATTGACTTGAGGCATAGAAAACGCTGAAGCGATTAAAAAGTAGCGAGCCCAGTATATCAGAGGTTTGACGTGAAAGAGCTTGATATCCACCGCTTTAACTTCGTTGGCAGCTGTAGCTAGAGCAGTAGCCACTGCACTACGCAAAACACAAGATATCAGGCCAAACCATAGAAACGAGGAAAAGAAAGAATGGAACTTACTGGAGAGAGCCTCGGCATCCGCATTAGCATCTTCAGCAGATGATTTTCGAGGCTCTGGATCCGATCGCACAACATTCCCATACTCTTTCATCAACGCATCGATTTCCTCGTTGCTAAGAACATCCACGTCAACATTGTCCTGCAAGAATGAAACTCAAGTTCTTTTCGAGCTCGAAAGAGAAAATTTACCTCCTCATCCTCCTCCTCAGTCTCCTCTTCTTCGTCGCTTAGCAAGGCGTCTTCCTGTTCTTCGTCCTCCGCTTGCGAATCCGACGCCATTGCCCGCCAAGCCCCGGATCTGGGATTCCCGGCTCTTTGGCACCATCCGCGCTGCGCAATCGACACCGCGATCGAGCAGCGCCTGCGATATTGCCTCCCGATCGAGCAGCGCTTACCGGAGGAATGCTGGCGTTGCCACAGGGCCAGAGCCCCCGCTCCCGCGCATTGGAGAGAGGCCATGTCCATAAACCCTATCTCTCTGGTTTAGGGTTTATGGAATCAAAAAGGTAATAATAGAGGGTTTAGCAATTTTAGGGTTTATGGGGCAAATGGGAGAGGAAGTGAGGCTCTTTGTGGGCGGCCTGGGCGCGTCCGTGGCTGCGCAGGATCTGGAGCGCGCGTTTGGATCACTGGGCGCCGTGCGCGCCGTGGAGATGATCCGCAGCGGCGATCGCGATTTCGCCTACATCGATTTCGTGGCTTCGTCGCCCGCGGCGCTCCGTAAGGTCTTCAGCACTGTAAGTATTTTCATCGCATTGATTGATGCGATGCCGATCGATGAAAAACGAAATTTTTGTAGCGCAGTACAAAGGCTGTAAGTGGAAGGGAGGATGCCTTCGCGTGGAATTGGCCAAAGAGCACTATCTTCAGCGATTGGAACGAGAATGGGCCGCCGGAAGGGAGGACCAAAAGAAGGATGGCGAGCAGAAACAGCGGCCGAAAATGCCGATTGTTCCAGCGACGCGGGCGCTTAAAATTTTTTTCCCGCGATCACGAAAGGTGACGAGCTTCTGGTTTTTCTTTCGTTCTAGTTTGAGCAGTGATCTTCCAGGTGAAAGTTGTGAGTGGAGGTAAGCACAAACGGAGTTTTGAGCGCTGCGCCAGCCATCCTCTCGCTTTGCTCGGACTGTGTAGCTGCGGAGAACACCAAGATCAAGAGGCCACCGATCCTTTCGAGTTTGAGCGCAGTGGCTACTTGAGGCTTGTGGAAAAATTGGAATCCAAGCGTTTGGATGAGAACGGATCGAGCCGAGAGGTGGAGGCGGCTGGAAGCAACTTGGGGTCAAGCTCCATAGCCGAGACGAGCAATAGCGAGAGAAAGAAGGAAGAGAAACAAAAGGAGGATCCGAGCAGCAAACTTCCCCGTGAGACTAAGAAAGGCAAGCAAATCGAGGTAAAAAGAATGGAAGGCGACGTGAATGCATTCGTTCCAGATGAAGATGACTTACTCAGAGAGAAGAACAAGAAAGAGGACAAGACGAGTGGCGTGAAAGCATCAAACTCCAAAGAGGAAAAGAACATTACAAGTGACAAGGAGGACAATGACAAAGTTCTTATGGAAAATGAAAGCGAGGAGGAAGAACTCGACGAAGAGGATGGCGTTGTTCTCCCGGGGCTGATAAAAAAGAGAAAGGTATGATGTTTTCTTCTGTCAGTCTCATCGCTTTGGTCTTTCTCGCAGGCCAAGGTTGAAACCAACAATACAAAGTGGGATACTTTGTTTGAAGCCGCGGCTGGACTGAGAGAGAACGAAGAGCTCTCTGAGGACTCCTTTGAAGAACAGGACGTGGAAGAGGAATTGGAACATATCCAGCTTGATCAGAATAGTTCGGGAAAGGTTGATGGAAGCTCTCGCGAAACAAAGAAAATTAACCGCGTGAGGTGGTCGTCTCGAGACACAAAGAGCGCTACATGTAGCAAGAAAGTTCTTACGAGAGAAGAATGCGACGAGGAAGGACTTGACGAAGAGGGTGGCATGCTGAAAGAAAGAAGAAAGGTACGTTTGCGTTTATCTCTTTGACGACTATCGAGTGAGTTCCTTTTTGTTTGCAGACCGAAGCCAACGCTACGAAAGGGGATAATTTATTTGGAACCGGAGTTAGCGAAGCTCTCGAAGACGAGCAAGTTACAATTCCAGATGCAAAGAAGCACAAATCTGGAGACCGAGCTGCTCGTCACTCGAACAAAAAGAGCCGGTCGGACAAAGCTGATGGAAGCTCTAAAGAAGCTCTCGAAGGAAGCGAAAATGGACCTGAGAGAAAGGATGACCAAGTTGATAGAAAGCAGCAGCAGGAAAAACAAAAAGATCAGAGCTGGGTCCGGTTTAGCTCGTGGAAATCTCTGGTTGGAGATGGCAGCGGTGCGACATTCTCTTTGTCAACGATAGCAGGAGCCGAACCACAGGAATCCAATAGTTCGGCAAGTTTAGTGCCAAACATCAAGAAGAAAGGTGATAATTCTGACGACCAACGAGCCAAAGTCACTACAGGAACATCACTGCCGGTCAGTACCTCAAAGAGCACTAGCAACGACGTTACCGAGAGCTCACAGCACCAGCAGCCTCGGCCATCCGTGAAAGCTCTCCTGGAGAAAAAGACTTGCTCGTTCATGAGGTCCCCTGCCGCCGAAGAAGAATGGCTGGCGTCCAAAGACAAGCTGAGCTTGGACTACAAGGCCAAGCACAGGAATGCAGTGAGAATCAAACGCAAGAGCTTTTAGAACTACAAGAGCAAAGCAAAGAAAAGAATAACAGCCTTGTTACCCCCCAAGAAGTTTTCCGACAAAAAAAAATTTCCTCCTGAAAAATTATATGAGCCTACCTCCTACTTGAGACCTGTATATTACAGCCACCCCAGCTAATAGAGAAAATATGCTGTTGTTGTCATCGTCGCTCGCCAATCACACCCATCAATGGACGCATTGGTTCTTCCGGAAGTTCTCGGGGGCCAATAACTTCAAAACCAGGCTCTCGAGTCTCTTTGCTCCTGCACTAGGCCGCAGAACGTCAGCATCACCCATAACCGAGCAAGGATCATTCCCATTTTCCGACGAGCCCAGGCACCATCCACCAGGAGTGAATCGGTCCTTCTCCCGCCCCAGCAGCCGGCTGTCGATCATGTCCAGCACCGGATCGTCCTTGTCAAACTTCCTCCCAAACGGGCTGCCGCTCGCGTTCATGTTGTCAAAGTCCTTGACGGTTAACGAGAGTGGATGCTGCTTTGGAGGATTGTCCCAGGTGATGTAGTGGAGGTCGTGGTTCACCGTCGTGATCCCCGTGTGGAAATACCCCTCTGGAGAGGACAGGAAATTCGTATAGTACATCAACACTGTCCTTGGAAGGTTGTCCCAGCCCCAGATGCAAAACT